TGCGGATCAGGATGCGGTCATTTCTTGCTGAAGAAACCCTTGGACGCCCAGATCTTGGTTTGTCTTCCAAGCTGTTGGTTTGTCTGTATTTCTGCAGAGTGTATCCAACTGCTGAAGGACTGCATCTGCACTTCCTGGCTATCTGGCGGCAGCTGTAACCTTCCTGGCTGAGAATCTTTATCTTCAGGCGTGTTTCCTGCGTTAGGTTCCTTGTTTTAGCCATTTTTGTGTCTGAAGAACTTTCAAATGTGCTGGCTTTATGTAGACACGAAGCTTGGCAACAAAAATTGTGTCTTTTAATAAAAAGAACGACCTTCATCACTGGTACCAAAATGACCCAATACTCAAAATTTCTTATGTATTTTTATGGAACCAATCAATTTTAAGTTTTTAATGGCTTTTTTAGGATTTATTTAGTATTTTGGCTATGACTGTACTAAAAGAAATTGCACTTGAAGACCTAAGAGTGATTCTTAATGCAATATTTCACAAATGCATGGGGTGTCCGAAAACTTTTTTCCACCACTGTATGTCAGTATGGAGAGCAGAGTTAGCATTAGCATAGTTAAAGTTTTGACAGCAAACATAGCAAAGTGCAGTTTTTTGATGTAAACCAGACCCTGTAGCTTCCTTCTACTATCTACCCAAAACTCCATCGTAGCAAATATTATCGTATGTTTTACAACCACTAACGCTGTATCAGCCACTGCCAGTTAGCCTACAAGCTAACATAGAACATAAACAAATAAAAGATGCTAACAACCCTACCATTCTGATACGCCTTCTAGTCGCCAATTTTGGTTCATGACAGACTTCTCATTTGAGTCTGGGTCTGACTGAGGCTCAAACATGTATGGATAATTCTCTCTGATGTATCCTTCAATGCTAATGCTAGCTGCCTAGCACCTAGATACCTAGTGGTGGTAGGGGCAGAGGCCAGATCCAGAACTTCTCAGTGATGGAAAAGAGCAGATCTGCTTCCACGCCCTTCTCTAAGGGTTTTTTTTTTTTTCTGCTTTTCTATGTGTGAAATCCATGTTAAACAAAATATCAATACATTAATTGGTATTTTTATATACTTTATATACATTAATTGGTATTTTTATATACTTTAGTGGAGGGCAATTTGCACTGTGTTGGCAAACCATATGGTAGGGTTACTCCTTCTGAAAATCCCTTTAAGGGACTTCACTTAAAGTTAATTTTTCATTCATTCATTTTCTGTAACCGCTTATCCTGTTAGGGGTTGCAAGGGGGACTGGAGCCTATCCCAGCTGACATTGGGCTGACATTGGACTATCACAGGGCTGACACATAGAGACAGACAACCATTCGTGTTCACATTTACACCTAGGGGAAATTTAGAGCCACCAATTAACCTGTATGTCTTTGGACTGTGGGAGGAAGCCAGAGTACTCATGCTGACATGAGAAGAACATGCAAACTCCCTACCTTGGGTTCGAACCAGGAACCCTCTTGCTATAAGGCAACAATGCTAACCACTTGACAACGTGCCACTCTTCACTTAAAGTGATTATAAAAATAGGGCATAGAGAACCACAGCTTTATGATTTAAACCTGAAATGTTAAAGGTACCTTGTGAAGTTTCTGACCACTAGTGGTCCCTATTTTACTTTGCACTAGCATGTGGAGACACCATTCCACACCAGTGTAGCCATATCCCCACAAAGGCAAAGCAGAAGAGGACTAGCTGTTAAAATTGGATGGAAAAAATTTACAATCTAAAAAATTTTTTAAAAATCTACTTGACAAATGTTTCATGAGGAAGGAAATGCATTTGTAAGACCTCAAGGATTCACACAATCTGTTTTAGTGATAAACACAGAAAGTAACTTTCCTTTGTACCTTTAAGGGTGACATGATGAACATGACTGTTTGTGACTTCTGCTGACTAAACTACTGTCGTTGTATTCAGTGGGAAGATGTCTCAGTCAGTATGACATGTCAAAAATATGACTAAACTTTAAATGAATTTTCAATCAAAAGGCTTCACATCATTTAAATTTAAATAGTGGGGAATGTGTAACTTAACAAGTAGAGATGACAAAACCAGAACACAGGGAAAGTGACTACATCATTTTAATCCAGAGATTTGGAGGGCATGTGATTTCTGGGACAAAGAGAGAGTGAGAGAGAGAAGCCTCAAGGCATATTGTGTGGGTGTGTATACGAATTTGTGCTTGCCAGTGACCCCTCTATAACTCTTACTGCATTAGGGGTATTAAAAACATCAGAGTCCATTCTGCTTACGACTGGGAAAGCAGACAGCTAAGTGGAGATGGTCCTCCCACACCGGGGGGAATCCACCGCATCAGCAGAAATCATGCCGGAGGTGGAGTTTCTGGCCAATAATGCCAACTGATGGTTTTCTGTTTTTACACTGTCGAATCATTACAACACCCGGGCCTCCACACGAGGAGGGAGAGGGCTGCTTCCATGATCAGAAATCAATGCCCATGAACTGTGACCTGACAGTGTATGAATCCCATTATATAAATACAACAAAAGACTGCTGACTATGCTGTGATTCAAAATCAAATCAAGTTAATTTCCATTTGATCCTTATATACTATGGCTGTAAAAGCTAGTGTATTTGTGCAGAATCGTCAAGGTTCAGGGGGTCGTGGTCCTGTGCACGCTGCCACACGCAGAATACATGGTATGCAGATTACTGCACATAATGTGGAACCAAAGTTTACAGGTACAAGTTTTGCCCAGAAAGTTTTAGCCAGTAACATGCTGAGGTTAGCAGCACAAGCAGATTGGCATACGAGTCAGTCACACTATGGCGAGCGCAAATGAAACACCACAGCTGGAAGACCCGTGAACAGGTTCCCAGTCAGCTACAACAGCAGTGGAGAAAGAGTTGTGTATAAGACGAGGACAGTGTGTCACTGCTGCTCCACATCTGTAGGGTGTATGAGTGGAAAAACATCCAACATGCTGAAGCACATTCAACAGTACCACCCAGATATGCCAATAGGCCCGTTTCCACCGCAGGAACTTCGGGGTAATTTTACGGGGCCGGGGCCGTTGGTGCGTGTCTCCACCGCAGGAACCACCCCCGAAGGACAGAGTTCTGGAACTTTTATTGGGGCTAAACAAGTCCCTGCCTCGGGGTAGGTACTCAGAACGGCCCCGAAAGACTCCCGGCGGGGGCTTGGGGATTACTTGGTGCTGACTGGATATACTGAAGGAGGGATGTGACGTCACCAGAAAGCAACAAAATAGCCGGCATTTTTAAAACTCAGCAGACAAGGGTTAGCTCGTTTATATAGCTTTCGCCGCCATGTAAAAAAAAACTCACTAAATGGCCCGTGAAAAAAATATTCTTTCCAGCGGATATCTTAGTTACAACATGATTGAGCTAGCAAAGCAGTTTTGTGTTGATATGTGTGGTATTTATTCAGTTTTGGGAAATCACGATGTCTAGAAAGCATCAGCTAACAGCAGCAGCAAAGCTAACATCAGGATGTCATCTGTTAAAAGCCTCCCGTTGTCGGATACGACATGAAACTACTCCAGTTAGCTCAATCATGTTGTGACTAAGACATCCGCTGGAAAAAATATTTTTTTCACGGGCCATTTAGAGAGTTATTACAGACACCGCTATCGGCTAACGGCGTCCCTACGTCGCCCCGGTCAAAATGGTCGCGTAACGATTACGTCACATCCAGAGGCAGCCCGTAACTTTACAGGAACCTTCCTCGTACTCCACTCAGTGGAGACACGGCGGTTGAGAGGGCCGAACGAGAGGACGTTCCTGTAGTAGTTCCTGCCCCCCAAATAGTACCAGGAACTTCTTCAGTGGAAACGTGCCCAATCTCCAGGATGATAAGTGTTTGGGTGGACTGAATGTTTAAATATAGCCAAGGTGTAACTAATTGAAACACTACTCCTAAAGCAGTTTTTTAGGGTGCATTTTAGGGTACGGCAGCATTTACAAGTGGACCAGATAAAATGCCTTGCGCGAGAAAGCTGCTCTTGATTGGTCAGAATTTCCTTGCGAGAAAAATCCAGGAAGTAAACAGAACATTAACGAAGAGTACATTTGCAAGATAAATGTGACACTTTCTAATGTCACAATGGAGGGACAGCTACGCAGGTTGATTTTAGCGCTGGTCATCGTGGACTATATTGCTGTCATTGTTCATTTTAGTCAAACCATACAGTTTGAAAACGAGGCGTGGCTCCAACTAGAAAACAATGCTTTGATGCACTGAATGCCCTGAATGTGCATATTAAGGCAGTACAGACAGAAATAAACAAACAAATTCACTGATGTGCTTGGAGAGGGAAAACAAATCCTTATTTAATAATTGTACAATATTAAGGATTTGTTCTGGAAAAGTTGCCACTTGGTACAATGAAACAGCTCCTCTGTGTCCCTACCTCTCACTATGATGCATTGCAGTTTGTTTCAGTGCCATGTTATCAATCATTTTGTCCAACTGTATTAAATCACTAGCGGACTGGTTCTGCTCCAACTTTCATTTATCTGTATTTATCCTCTTTTAAATCTCCAGGGTGAGTTTTTAATTCAGCATCATAAACAGAAGCTCTGCTCATAAAAATGTTGAAATCTCAGAACTAATATTCAGGCGGGTTTTTAGGCAAAATATCACAAACAACACATAACACCCTCCCATATGTATCTGTCTCACTTGTCAAAATGGGTTTCCTTTAAAATAGCCCTGAGCATTTCATCATGGCTCCATCCCAAGTGATTACTGGCCTGGTGACAGGCAGCCCAGAGACTCACTTTTGATTGACATTACCTCAAGTCAGTGAATTTCAGCTGAAACATTAACAGTGTATCTCTCATTTGACCTCTATGCTGCAGATCTAAACTTCTGGAAACACGGTGAGGTGAACTGACCATAACCTAATGTAGCACTAATAAAAAGACATCCTATGAAATGGCTGCAAGTCAATTCATTTTTTTCATGTGTGTGTAAGCATGTGGTCGGAGTACTCACAGCTGGCACTGGTCTCCTTTGATCCCCTTGGTGGTGCAGAAACACTTGCCAGTTAACACCTGGCACACACTTGCATGACCGTTACACTTACAGGCTGGAAGGGGCGACAGAACACAGATGGAAAGGAAGAAAGGTGGGGAGAAAACAGGGGGAACAGAAACAGTGTTGATTAGCATCCAATAAAGCTGAAAGTGTGGATTTAGTTAAGTGTTTATATGTGCTTGCACACATACACATGTTAAGTTTAAAGCTTTGAATTCAGGATCTCCTGAGGGCTCAATAACCGTACAATTCCTTCAACTTGTGCCATAACAGTTGTTTTTCCCCACTTTAAAGCACTGGGCTAGCAGTTTCCCATTGCTGGCAGTGTTTGTGCTAAGCTAAGCTACCGACTCCTCTTCTGCTGTACTGCACACGCAGAGATGAAATTGATATCGATCTGGCTGAGATGGTAAACAAGTGTATTTCCCAAAAGATTGGCTGAACTTCAAAGATCTGAGACATGATGGAGAAAATATGCCCCCCCTAGATAGGACACCACGATACCCACCAGGCATGTGTGTGTGGAATATAAACAGTGCGGCGCTAGATGTGTGAATTGGCTCCTTAAGTGCTTCTGGTGTGGCAGCCTTTCAGGTTTGCACTTTTCAGTTGACTGGGCTTTAAACCACTGAGAAGGTGTATTACAGAGGGGTCAGTGGACACAGCTCGAAACCTCCACCCTAGCACATTTCCCAAGATGGTGCGTATGAATATTTCAGGTGACAGGATTGCTTTTAACTGAGTGTCTTAGCACTTTTTCCTGCACTTGTTGTTATCGACAGCTGGTGATAAAGGATTTCGTTGTACTGTGTGCAAGTCATGCTGGGATAGGAGGGTGTGCTGGATGCCCACTGTACATAAAACAAACAAACATCCATCTGTATGCAGCAGAGGTGAGACCAAGTCATTGTTCTGCAAGTCACAAGTCTCAAGTTTCTGCGCTCAAGTCACTCAAGTCAAGACTGACAAGTCCCAAAACAAGCCCTAAACTTTGAGTTTCAAGTCCTAAACAAGTCATAATGCACTTTCACTAAATGTAATCTTTGGGGGAAGACACCAAGTGTTTTCTAGGGCTGCCCCCGACTAGTCGCCCGCATGTTTACGATATTAATGTAATTATTAAATTATTTATTTTGGGCGGGGCAACACAATGGTTTGAGTTCAAGGTGTGAGAAAGAATAGTATCAGTAACATTGTTAACACTGTGCTACATTACAGAGAAATACAAAACCGCCCACTGAGCAAGCAACGTCTGTGGACGTCCAAGTCTAGTTGATATCACGTCTGTGTACATGATATCAACTAGACTTGGACGTCCACAGACGTTGCTTGCTCAGTGGGCGTACTAATGAACCTTCATTAATATAGGCCTATATTTTATCTATAAGTGCACGTCACACACTGAGCGAGCCGCCTGTTAATGACGCTGTCGGCAAAGCAGTAATGATTGTGCTAAGTGGCTAATGGGCATGTAGCTACTGACATGTTGCAGATGATACGTCATGTTTGTAGTCGACCAATGAAGATGAGTTTACATATCACCTTGGGTTCGTCCTTCACCTTCTCAAAATGATCTCACACTTTGGATTTCCTGCCCGACATGTTATTAACTAGCCTGTGGAATAACCACAGGTACCAGCCCTGGAAATTAACCTGACTCCTGTCTGACTGCTGAGCGTGGCCTCTTCCTGTGTCTGTCCTTTCGAATTAAATTCCCACATGGTCCAGTCATATAGGTTTTGATCTATTTGACAAGACGCAGCTTCTAATTGAGTTTCATGCTTGCCTGTTTTTTTTTTTTTCTGTGACTAAGCAAGCAATGAAATCGTACTAATTGATGACCTTTCTGGTCGACTGTTTGGTCAACTACTAGTGGGCAGCTCTAGTATTTTCAGGTCAAAAGGCTCACTGGTCACTGGTCTTCAAGTCCAGGTCAAGTTGCAAGTCTTTTTTCATTCTGTCAGGCCAAATTTGTGACTAGAGTCAGACTCAAGTCCAAGTCATGTGACTCGAGTTCACACCTCTGGCATGCAATAATGGCACATAATGACTTTGAGTCGTCACGTCCTCAGGCTCTGAAAGAATAAGAAGAATATACCCTTCACAGATGCTCACCTGTGTAGTTTCACTTTACAGGTTACAGCTATAACCTGTGCATTAACAGATGGCATCTGAGACCATAAAGCTCCCAGGTGTAGCTGTGTGTGTGTGTGTGTGTGTGTGTGTGTGTGTGTGTGTGTGTGTGTCTGCGGCTCACAGTCTGGCAATTCAAACAAAAGCCCCCATGTAATTTTTCAGGAATGCTATTCATGTTTCATAAGGGACAGGGAGTGTGGGTAAAGCTCCTCTAATAGCGGTCGTCAGTCATTTATTTAATAACAACCTGAGACTGTTATCAAGTGCACATACAGTTATTTCATATTTGGTTAAATGCTCATTCCTATGCTAACAGCCTTATGTTTTTTCTCCACATTAAATTCAGCTAGCATTATGCGCTTTTGCTCTGAAAACAAGAATGCTGTATAAATTATGGGCTGCAGTCACTCCAGAAAATTTATTCTGCATCGAGCAGGAGACGCAGATAATAAATCTGCACCGTGTGCGATTCAAAAACTCAATCAAGCAGCTTTATATGCAGAGAGACAAACATGAGTACCACACCCTGAATTAATACAACAATTAAATCATTGCAGATATATTTGTTGGTACCCTGCCTTTACAACGTCAGTGTATGTATCCAAAATCCTGACATGATGCATTTAGATTTTCAACAAAGCTTTACGGTGCAGGAAAACACAGTAACACAAGAAGTCAGTAGTTGACCTTCAGCTTCACCTGCACTTCCCACATCTGCTTCACACTCACTCTAATGTCAAGAAAACACAGTTAATCTTGACATTTCTCCATCTTATGTGAGAGTGGTGTTTTCCACACAGCAGAAACAAACCAACAGAGGCCAGATGTTTATTCTACCTTTACTTGTTTTTCTGTTTAACTTAATGAAACCAACAGATGGAGGAATATTTTCATTAATCAAACAGGACAGACTAATTGCCACCAGGTTCTTATCAGCACACACTAGTACCCTCTGTTGGTTGAGATGCTGTATTGCCGTCTGTCTGTCAAGCAAGGCTCTAATTAAAATTCAATAAGTAGATGATATTCCTCTAAGAGTTTGATTATCATGTACACACAGCAGGTCTTGTCCAAATAAAAGAGAACGTAATTTGTGTATTTGTTTAAAACCTGATTGTTGACTGGAAGGAAACGTGCACAGATGATGAAGGTGGTGAGGGTTAAACTCCATCAATCCACTCCTTCGACAAAATGGTAACAAGCAAATCCATTAAGTCGTATGTGTGCGGAATAGTTAAGCATCTGTGGCGATGCGGCACTCACCCTGGCATTTGCCGCCATTGGTCGGGTCTCCATGATAACCAGGCATGCAGGTCTGGCAGTGAGGGCCAGTGGTGAGGTTACGGCACTGCTCGCACACACTGCCGTTCACACACGTGCTGTGGCCATTACACTGGCAGGCTGAGAGAGAAACAGAGAGTAAGTTTTACTACTTAGATATTGAGGAACATATGTGCACATGAATTTCAGATCTTAACACACCGAGCATCTCATGGCTACCACAGTTAATGCACCCTAATTGTGGGTTACACTGGGGGGCAGGGAGCGAGCCAACACAAGGTGGAACTAACTCAGATTTTTATTTTCAATGATTAGGAGCAAGAAGGGTGAATTTCTGCCAACATGCTGGCAGTCACAATCTCCATCTGTCTGCAGGTCCCACAGGACCCTGTTTTACAGAGTCATTTTTGAATAGTTTGAGTCGAAGTCACACAATCATGCTGATCGTGCTCCCCGTAGCTAATAAACAGCGAGGATTTGACACGGGCCCAACGAAACTTACATCTAGGGTTGTTGTTATTGCTTCCTGGAAAAGCAGCCAGACCCATTAGTCCTGTCAGTGGCTTGTGTCTGCCGTGTCATATTAATTACCATTTAATCAGACTTGCCTTTTAAAATATGCTTTGCAACTTTTAATGAACCTGCGTCAATGCGTCCAATGGGAAAACACAAATTAGACCTCTAATGGAAAAGAATACAGAAAAAAAGAAGTGTTTATTTTTGTTTTATGTAAGACTGGTTTGTATATTCATCAACGCATATCAAGGGTAACATTAACAGGAAACCAATTTCCAGGATTTATTCATCTTTACAATTAAGGGTCTTTCGACAGTGTTCATTAAATTAAGGTGAGAGAAAGAAGCGAACATGAAGTTAAATGAAGATGACTGGTTAAACATATGTAGGACGCAGTCCACCACATCAAGCTCAGATCCGTGGAGGGAATTCATCACAACAATTAACGCACGTTCAGCCAATCTACGAGAATTCTGCACAATCTTTTATCCAACTGACACAACTTTACTGCAAATTTGACTATTTAAATTGGGTAAAATCTCATTTCATTGCAGCCTTTCTCTCTACACACACACAGTGACGGGGCTAACTGTTAGCATCATACGACTAACACTGCCCAGCAGTTATTTACAGGTTTAACAACAGAGGTGAGTAGTCTCAGTGTTGGTGCTAAGTTGTTAATGGCTCAGTGTTGGATGTTAACTACTGCTGCAGGGCTTCTTCTCAAGCGGCAAAGTATGGGGCGCAGAGTAGGTCACCTAGGAGGGCAGGCTCCCCAGGTACAAAGGCTACATCCCCTTTCATGCTACTACTGTCCTATCAAATGAAGGCCAAGAAGCCCAAAAAATAATCTTTAAACAAACAAACAAACAAAAAAGCGGGAAAGTATGACGAGTAGTGACGAGATCATGTTGGTTGCGCTAACTGGGCTGAGAGCAGGAGGGGAGATGCTAACGGGGACGGTCCTTCATAATAAGCTCAAAATCCGTTCCAGCATCAAAACTATTTTTGCAATCTTCACTTGCCCCTGTGATGTCACTGCAAAAATCGCAATGTGCATCGCAATATTTATTTTATTTTTTTTTTTTAATCAGACATTTCAGGCTGCTTCAATCCCAAAACAGCCCAAGAAATCCTAGAGGGAATACTTTAGATTCTTTATAACTCCCTAAGTTAAAAATTCCCACAGCAACAAATCTGAACGTGGTCTTTTTTTTTTTTGGAGTGTCCTAACATTTCTACTTATTGGGTAGACGTGGATGAAGCAATTAGATCAATATACAACTCAGAGATTTTAACTTCAGTGTTATGTATTTGGGAAACTTGTCAACTGGGCTGAAAAAGCGGAACAGATATTTGTTTTCAAATACTATTAAAGGCAGTAAAAAGCAATAATCAGATAATGGCTGAGTAAAAAGTCTCCAATAACCCCTGAATGAACAGAAATAATTTAGAAAATTCATATTATGGAACCACTGACTTCTTCTCTGAAACATGTAGCTAAAAAATGTGAATATAAATAAAAATATTGGAAAACATGAAAATCTTATGTGAATCTGAAGCAATCGTTTTATTGTATATATTTATTTTGTTTAGAGCACTTTGTTTTATTCTCCTCTGTGCTATGACAAACAGAATGGACTTTAGGTTATGAATGAGTGGACGACTCCTCCCCCCTTAAAAATAACCCTGGCATGGAACAAAAGGACATAAAGAACCAACAGTCCTTGACAATGTAGTGTTTTACATAAAGTCGAACATTTCGGTTTACCTGTTCTGTTCTTAACAAAAAAAGGCTGATGCATAAATTAACCTTGTTTGTATTGATTTTTCACCCTCATTAAGAATGGACTGTTACAATTAATTCCAGTTTTGAGAATGTAAAAATACCAAAGACACTGAGCTTCACACCTAAAGGCTTGAACCCATGATGAGGTAAAGTCTCACTGAAAAGCCTGCACATGTCACTTCAGATCTCTCACTATCTTTACACTTTATTGACACCAAGGAGCCACTGAGCACGCCTCACATTCTCACATTACACCTCGCACTGAGTACATCATCGTCTTACATGACGTGGTTGCGTGGACTGGGGCTTGATGACAGCATTAAATGGCACACTAGCGTACGGTTGCATAGAGTCAGCAGGGAGGGATTAGTTGCATAGGGAGGCTGTAACAGGAATCCTTGATCAGAACATCTTTTAAAACTTAAGACGCCACAGTCGATGGGTAATAACAACTGCTCAAGAAGATACACTTCTGATGCATGATCTGTAATTTCAGCAAGCAGCACAGGAAGTGGATCCCTTACCGGGGCAGTGAACGAAGGCCCACTCGTAGCCCTTGTCTTTGGGGCAGCTGCCCGGCTCCAGGATCATGTCCTGGGACTGGACCTGCTGGCCTTGCTTAGCCGGTCTCTTCATCGGCCCTCTGTAGGAGCCCTCCATGCACAGGCCCTTCCCCGTGCTGCTGGGATCGCCACACCAGCCGCACTCAGGCTGCTCCAGGCATTGGGAACATGTCCGCAAGCCCGAGCAGTTCTGGGCTGAAGGAGAAACAAAGGGTGAGAGACTTGTGTTGCACTTGAAAATACTTGCATGAAAACACTGATACATACACAGATAGAGGTACAGACAAACACACAGACAAACTCATACAGGCTATGGACATATGCCCATAAAATTATGCACATACACATACTGCATATTATCATAACTTAGGAAACAATACACACCTGCATATGAAAATATATGCAACACTTGTAAAATGACTGTAATATGATGTGCAGCATTCCTACACATTTTTATGGACAAAATTTCAAACCTTTTTCACGACTTTTCAAGCAGCCACAATAAAAAAAAAATCCATGACCATTCACAACTTTTAACACAAACAGATCTGTACACAAAATTTTAGTCTAAATATTAACTGTATTATTAACGTCGGCCCACAGACATGAAGCCGTAGAGCTCCCAGAGTCGGGGAGTGACAGTCTGTAGTTTGGGATGACACGTTGATTAATTTGTTTGGAAATAAGAATGCACTGTACCGTTAAACTACACTGGCCTACTTTCAGCACAGTTTAAACTAAATCAAAGTGAGCACTGGTGCTCCAAGTGACAACTGAATGCCCTAGGTTGCCCAGGTCAGTTGATTAATCTCAAAAATGCAGCACAATTTAAAAGTATTAGTGGGACATAGGTACAGTGTCTCTTTAAAGTGTTCCTACTTTGTTGTATTACAACCTGTAATTTCAATGTATTTTTATTTGGATTTTTTTGTGATACCTACACAAAACAGTCAAAATTGGCGAAATGAAATGAAAATAAAAAAAAAAACATATTAACAATAAAATAAAACAAAAAAATCCCTGATGCTGGTGAATGCAAATGTATACACCCCCTTTGCTTCGACACCCCAGCAGGCCTTATTTAGGGGTGTCATCACGAAGGGGGTGAAAACATGTGCATGCACCACTTTTCAGTTTTAATTTTTTTGAACAAATATTTTTTAAATTTATTCTACTTCACAAATTTTGACTATTTTGTGTAGAGCTATTACAAAAAAATCCCTAAAACTTCCATTTAAATCACACTTGCTGCACTTGTCCCACGTAGTTAAAATGCATCAACATAAGTGACGGTCAAAAAAACCGTCACACATCTACACACAGCTACACACAGCAGAGCTATGATACGTCAGCAGCTACAGAAAATAAATTTGCCGTTACGTTACATAATATGGTGGTCATCCACGCAATTTATTTAATGAAACAACAAAATTTCATGACTCTTCCAGGCCTGGAAAACAAGATTGTGGAATTCCATGACCTATTCAGGTTTTCCATGACCGTGTAAACCCTGGATGCATATATTTACATGACACTATTTATTATGCGCTCAATGTGATTAGTGTAATCGTAGTAATGATGGTATGTCATGACCTTTAAAATTTTTAAGCAGGAAAATCCTAACCAGGGACAGGAACCTTTCACAATGTTTTCTTGCACTGACCCTGACAAATAAACAAATAAATAAATAGATTTGTTTTCAGTATCAAAGTGGAATGTTTTCTATTACTGTTCTACTCCTCTGCTTTTTTAAAATACACTGAACAAAAATATAAACGCAACACTTTTGTTTTTGTTCCCATTTTTCATGAGCTGAACTCAAAGATCTAAAACATTTTCTATATACACAAAAGACCATTTCTCACAAATATTGTTCACAAATCTGTCTAAATCTGTGTTAGTGATCACTTCTCCTTTGCTGAGATAATCCATCCCACCTCACAGGTTTGTCATATCAAGATGCTGATTAGACAGCATGAATATTGCACAGGTGTGCCTTAGGCTGGCCACAATAAAAGGCCGCTCTGAAATGTGCAGTTTTGCTTTATTGGTGGGGTCTGGGGGGGGTCAGTGTATAAACTAAAAAATGTTTATTGTCTTGATTTGTATTCCTTTGTTGGCCGTATTTGTCCATTTCTTCTTATTTTAACAATTGTTTACCAGGGTTTCACCTTGAAACAAACAGCAGTGCAAATTGTGATCAACTGCAAAGCACTAAAAATAACAAGGTCCAATGTCGTCACAAACAAGAATCCTGAAGGGTGTTGCTTTCAGGGATTTTATTTTGTAGGATTTCAGCTTCAGTCTTTCCTTCACCTTTAACAGGCCCTACAGATTAATGACATTAACGTGCTTTGCACCGAAAACACAAGCTGGTTATCTGGTGAGCTGTCAGGACAACAGATCTGAGAGCACATGAGAAGATAAGAAGCAGGTGTTGAGCTTTTAACAGCTGATTGAGAGGAGAAAAAGCCATAGAATGAGACAGAAAATGTGTCAGCAAGCCGAGGCCGGCGAAAAGTTTTTGATTTGAGCAAAGTTCAATGAAAGGTTTAAATGTGATGTGTGAAGTGGCAGCTCGCTCTAAAGCAAGGAACCCAAGGGAGCCGGGGAGCGATGCTGTTTTGTCAGCTGGGGGACGAACTTTCAGGCCACTAAATTGCTTGACAAGTTTCAGCACCGCCACTTGCCTGCCAGACAGACACTTCAGAAGGGGGGGGGGGAAATGCCACTACTATTTTAAGGAGACAAACATTGAGTGCTTTTACCTCAGTTTATGTCAAACAAATCTCCAGCTATTCTGCTAATGGATGTGAAACCATGACAACGCGAGAACAATCAGCACAAAGTAAGGCCATTTAAGTTTGTTTTGACGACAGGATGCGAGTGGCAGATTTCTCACTAACATACCATTCTGAGGAGAGAAGCAGCTGGACGAGGACTTTTTGTCTCGCCACAACACAAAAGCACGCTCAAACACAAAATCTGCCGCACAAACAAAATTCACATTTATCCGTATGGATTTTGACAGATAAATCAATACGTGTGAACATGAGCAACTAAATCTGATGCCTGGAGCTGTTACATAAATTGGACAGTGATTATGAGTGGGGCTGCACGGCAAAACATGTGTCCCGTCATCCACTGTTAACAGTTTTCACCAGCCAAGCAAACACAACCTGTAATCCTGCCCTCTATTCTCTCCACAGCACCGTCTGAATTTATGTACGGAAGCTTTCAAGGGCTTTTCTTTTTAATAAAAACAAGTTTAATTCCAGCATTTAATCAAAAATGACGTCATACGAAAATACTATTTTTGAGGTAAAACTCTACAAGTTTGTATTTCATAAAATCAGTTTACTGTACATCCACTTTGCTGTCCATCATCTCCAGGGGTTACATTTACTCTAATTTGTATCTACAGGCTGTTTCACTGCTCGCAAAGTGTTCTTGCTGGATTTCACAGAGACTCTAAATACTGATCAGAATGACGACTTCCCCACTTCAGTATCTGTTTTTTTTTCTGTCTTGACATGCCTCAAAATGCACCCTGCAATCAACAGATGGCAAATGTCGCTTTAAATCAAAATCCATATGCGGAGAAGAAGGGGTTCTTTACTACCGCTGTTGTGCACAAAGGATGCAGTCAAGCCGGGGCCTCTTAAAATATGATGAAATCTTGTTTTTAAGTCTTAAGTATACTTGTGAATATCATGATGGCAGAGATACAGAATAAGTATTTGCCTATTCTGGCTAAAAACAAAGGGCTGCCCTATCTTTTACAGCTAGGGTTGCCACCATAATCAGTTCATCTGCAGATTATTTTCTCAGTTAACTGATTTTTTTTTTTGACCATCGTGAATTACAAATGAAAAATTCCCAAAGCCCAAGGTGACAAATTTAAATTGCTCATTTTGTTCAACCCAACAGTCCAAATCACAGAGATGCATTTCAATTTATGATTCATAAAGCAGTGAATTCTCACATTTTTAAAACTGGAGCTTGTGATGTTTGCCAGTTTTTGTTTGAAAAATTACTGAAACAGTGAATCAATTATCAAAATACCTGTCAAGTGATTTTAATTTAAAGCAGCTGTGCGGAACTTTTCGTTTTAGTTGATTATAGCGCCCCTTTGGTCGAAGCGGTATGACACCCACAGCCTGGTGTCGTAAAATTCCGACTGCAGCCGGCAATTACCGCATGCATTTGTTTTGGAGAGCGAGAGGATTAACTAACGTCAGGTCAGTCCAAGTAATTAGTGGAAACAGCAAAATTACTCAGTAAATTCTCCTGTCGTGTTTCTGTTCTGAGCTAATCTAATCTGTTGTGTATTTTGAGCTACTAAGGCTACCGTAGTAGTGTGAGCCTCAAGTTATTCTGGGTAATGTAGTAACCATTGTTGTTCTACTGGAAACAATGAGAAGCAGCCGTGTACGTTCGGTGTAAGGAGGAATAAACAGTTAACAAGTCATCTGCTGAGTCCGCATTATTATGTGAAAAGAATACTCCGACGATTTGGGAGTTATGCCCTTTCTCTATCATTTTCATATTGAGACAGCGGTTAGCATGGCACTTGTAGGGGGTCAGTACATCTTGCGCAGAGGGATACACCGGTGAGCAACAGCTGCAGCTGGCTCTGGGACAGGTACGCTAGGTCACTCGGTAAAAGCAAACAAAGAGACGACACGGACGATATTACTCACCCAACTGAAAGCTGTCCATCAGCTCCTGCAGGCCTGGGCGATTTTTCCAGTTCATCTTAGGAACATGAAAGAAAGTTTCAATCACGCCAGGATTAGTGATTGCTGCAAAGTTTTCATTCCTTGTGATGCACTCTCTGCGGTGGTTTTCCTCCTGATGATATATCTCCCCAACGATGGTAGCACCGAGTCCCATTCTGTGCAGCAAAATGGGAGTGGAGGATTCAGCCTCTCTTCTCGCCTCAGCATGCAACACATGGAGTTCCTCATCTGTGTACTCCGGCTCAAACAGGTATGGCTCTGGGTCTGTGTCCGCTACAAGAAACTCTTCAAAATCGCGTTCAAAGTCGTCCATTGCAGCTACTATAGTCCGGAGATATTGCTAGGCTAAATAAACAGCTGAGTTTTGTTTACAAGCTACGTCTGTGCCTGCCTGCTCACCGGTGTATCCCTCCGCGGATCACAGCGCAGGACGTACTGACCCCCTATAAGCGCAACACTGAGACCCAGCCACTGGACGTACAGACACAAAAAAGATATCGATCATGTTGTCTCAATATGAAAATGATAGAGAAAGGGCACAACTCCCAAATCGTCGGAGTATTCTTTTATGTGAAGATACACAGTGAAGACATAACATAATCCTAACACAGCAAAGCTGTTACCTGCAGCCTTCGCTTGCAAAGCTAACGCTACTAACGTTAGGTCAGTCCAAGTAATTAGTGGAAACATGCTAACGTTACACACAAATTAGTAGTAAAGTAAGACCTGTTCATAAATGTTCTGGTGCAGCTCTGAATTTCTTATAAACTGAGGACAACTGCCTGCTGTATATTTGTGTTCATGGTCACAGTCACAGATAATTTTAGATGATGCTCCTTTGTTATCCGCCATGACATCAAAAGTACAACCAAGTCCTCATAGATACATCTCTGGTAAAACTGTTAGGTGTTATGTGTTCAGCAATGCCCGCTGCGTACTGCTTACTCGAAGAAAACTGTAAACACTGCTCCTTCTTCTTCTGTGGTTTAATCGCTGCGGGCCGCTGCGGGCAAGCAGAATCACTTCCACCTCGGGTGCCGTATTCTGGTTTGCTGACTTCCGCTGTGTGTCCGACCCAAGCGAGGCTATGCTAAATAGCCATATAGAGAAAGGCTTTTTTGTCGCTGTTGGGTTCAAATAAATATGCGGCTCTTCAAGGGGGGGTGATACGAACTAGGGACAATTTTATAAATGGTAAAAAGTTCCACACAGCTGCTTTAACTAAATGTTTAGCTCACCTACTGTACATGTAGTCTATGGGGGATGAAAGCGGCCAAAATCACAAATAAATGACTTGATAAATATATTAATTTGCCAATTAACATAAATACCTTCTGTTACAACTGTATGCTTACATAGGGCCCGATATATGAGACATAACAGAGAGATATGACATTGAATAATGGCCTGAAACATGTTTTATGCAGAACATTATGACGTCACAGTGAAGCTGACCCTTGACCTTTTGGATATAAAATGTCATCACTTCATTATTTTAGCCTATTAGACAGTTATGGGAAGTTATGTCATAATTAGCATAAGAATATGAATTCTTGAGTTATGGCCATATTTTGTGACCTCACACTGACCTTGACCGTTGTCAAAATTCTAATCAGTTAACTCTTGAGTTAAAGTGGACGCCTGTGTCAAATTTTAAAAATTCCCTTCACGTGTTCTTGAGATATCACATTCACGAGAATGAGACAGACACAAGGTCACACTGACCTTGACCTTTGACTACCAAAATCCAATCAGTTTATTGCTGAGTCCAAGGGAAGTTTGAGCCAAATTTTAAAAATTCCCTTGAGGCGTTCTTGAGATATCGTGTTCACAAGGATGGAACTGACAGATGTACAAACAGATGTATGAACAGATGTATGGCCACAGCTATCCCCAGTGGAGAGGCATAATTAATGTAGGCATTAATTCATTTTTTAAATGTGACATCACCTTATAATTCTGTTTTAATTTGCTTCTTTTTTATTTATCTTTGTATTAATTCCACTTTTACTTTCCTATTTAATTTTCCTTTTTATTTATCTATTCTTTTTTTTTTAAATTATTATTGTTTAAACTAATTTCTTATTTTTTTTATTTATTTATTTATTGAACGTATTAATTTATTCCTTTATTTGTTTTTTTATCATTGATGCATTTATTTTTTCATTCATGCAAATATTTACTTTCAGTATTATTTCTGGTACATTTAAGGGCATATTCAATTATTTACTGAGTCATTCATTTATTTTTTATTTTGGTCGCTTCCATCCTCCATACTCGTCCTCTACAGCATATCTGCAGGAAGTGAAACAGTGAGCCAGTCCTGATATAAAAGATCAAATCAAGGCCCAAGGAAAATGCTACGAGGGGAAAGTGAAAGTCGACTCGACCTTGCATGTTTAGGATTCTGTCTGAAGTAAATACAGCTTCCGGGGATTTTTCTGACTTTCTCTGACCAGTGTTGATGAAACAGATAGACAGATAGTGTGTTCATAGCAGAGATGTGCTGTTGATGCGTTTGGGCTGACTGATCTGGTAAGATACGGCTACACAGAAGCTGAAGAGGTATTTTGGATTGCTACTTACATGCCAGGTAGAAATCACTCAAACTGTAGCTGAAGGCCATAAATAAAGCGTCCTTCCCCAACAAACTACTGCCAACTATTGGTAGCTCACAAATAAGAACTACTTGTGCAATGTCAGATCTGCAGAATGAGACTATTTTCTACTGGGTGCAACAAATACATCACAGCCTGCCCCTGCATGATGATACTACAGGGCATTTTATCCTGGCTGTATGGCTTTGAGTACATGTATGTAGCATACTCAGCATAAAGAAAGCCTCTCTATGCACTGAAAATGAGGAGGAAAGAAGTAAAGTTAGGTGGGGTAATTTGAGACTTAATTGGTGATTGAAACTTTGAGAGTGAATGTGAAGGAGCAAAGTCAGACAGAGCCAGCAGAAAACACAGAGAGAATTTATAGGATACCCTTCTCTGTCCTTCACGCCAAAAGGGACAAAATCCTCAAGACAAATACCCACAGTGTACAGAAATGTCTCAGGGTTACCTAACACCAGCTGACACAAATGAATTTGAAACTGCACCCTTCAGCTCCCTCAATTTGTTACTCGCTAAACTGATCTGAGATGCTTTTACGATCTGACACAACTGTGGGTATAATTCATACATTACGCAGCACAACAGCATCGACCTGACGAGCCGCTCTGACCTTCAGGTGAGGGATCTCTCTGATCAACTTACCAATGTGAAAATACTGTTAGCAGTTAAACCTCTGTGTGTGTCGAGTACTTATTTCATTACTTTTGGAGATGGGAATGCCCTTTTTGATGCTTGAAGAGAAGCATGTACAGGATATTCAAGGATGATATAGCTTCAAATTGTAAAGAGATGACAGAGCTTTGCACATTTTTTAATTTTAAATGTGTCCTCTTTCTCACAGTGTTTCTCAAATGGGGGTATGGGTACCTCTATGGGTATTTTGGAGTACTACAGGGGGTACATGAGATTTATTTATTTATTTATTTTTTTTTTTTTTACATTAAAGGTATACAATGCAGTGTTGTCCTGAAAAAGAATGTATAGACTCATACTGAAGTAATCCCTCTCAATCATCACTTATGACCCACCAGTAGTGTGTGGTGGTGTGTTTTCTTCTGCACAGACTCTGCCTGTGTTTTCTTATTTTCTGTGTTCAGGATGTTTCTGGGTGTGTACCCCCCACAGCGCTCAGGTGAGGTCGGGTCTTTATACGGGGCTGCATTTTTTGCACCTTAAAATTCATTGTTTTCCATGTAAACACACAGCAGACGCGCTCAAATGCCAGAGTGATGCTGTTGCAGCGTGCACACATTCCCTAGCGCCTATTTTTCAGGGCACAACCACTGTGGCCTGAGACTGCTTTAACACCTCATGTCATGTGACGAGAAACAACCAATCACAGCCGACACGTATCCTTCCGTGAATATCAGTCTGTGAATTAATATGGAAAAGTTGACCATGTAAGTGCAAGGCTGCCAGAGCTTTATGTCTGTGCCACGAACGACAGGCCTACACACTTATAATAACGCCTGGAAGAAGATCAGCTCTGCACTAAGGATTTTATGGAAATAGGCTATACTGTGCGGGTTGAGGTTTCTTAGCAACCTCAGATGCAGCTGTGCTCTTAAAAGCTAGCACAAAAAAGGCACAAGAGTAGCACCCAGCGCTCTGTGTTTTCTGGGCGGTTAAAAAGACAGCATATGTACGGCCCTTTAAAAGGTAGCGACTAAGTGCAAGACCATGAGCAGCAGGCATCCACAAGACAGCGCAGAAAAAACATAAATATAGTGAGGGGAAACGAGAGTGAATCAGGCTTATACTTTCACTTCACAAACAGTAACCAACATCCCTGCATAGTGTACCTTTAATTTAAAAAAAATATCAGTCATGAATGTAAGTTTGAAAGCCACATTTTACATTACATTCCTATTTTCAGTGAAATCATAAACTGCTATAAACTGCCGCAACAAACACATTCATGCTGACATTTGCTCGCTGTGTGTTTATACCAAAAATGTTTTGCACTGGTCAGGGGGGCGCTTGGCAGAAGAAATATTTCAAAAGGGGTACATTATTGAAAAATGTTTAAGAACCACAGCTTTAATGCACAAAATGATGACAACAGCATGTACATAATAGGTTATATCTATTATCATATCATATCTATACATCTGTAGTACAGTCATCTTTGGAGTGTTGCTGCTCTGAGCTATTTTCCGCTGTGTTTCTTGGTGACTTGAGAGCAGTGAACACTATTTTTGAATATGATGGTATACTACTTTACATCTCAACAAGTGGGTGTACATTTGTAAAATTGTACATTTTGGTTTTGGCCTTCTATCCTTTTGCAGTGGTCCAAAGTTGCCTGATTTAAAAACATCTCGACTGAATCTATTCCTGAAATCCTCCTCCAAAAACTAAAACAATAACATTCATATTTGCATTACTGTACGTGCAGCTATCCCATCATGCCTCTCTTCTCATTCAGAGAGTGAAGTCATTTGTAGGCAGAAACTGCTCCTTGATACGTGACTGTCTTTAAACCACTTAAAGCCAGCTAACGGTAAAGAGTCCATCTGCAGCGTGGTCAGCAGGGAAATCTAACAGTTGGGGCGACTATATGCGAGAGTAATTGGCCATTACCCACGCAAAAAAAAGAAAAGAAAAACAGCTTCCAAAGCCAATCACAGGAAACTAATACCATTTTCCCTCCGACACAAACACCTTCCACTTTAAGCTGTTTTTCCTCCCTTAACCTCCTTTCTGGCAGTGATGAATATCGACTGCTTACAGAAGCCAATCTAGGAGAGCTTATTGCCGGCCTCCTTAATGCCAGACTATAGACTGCAGAGAAGCCTCATCTAGATTAAGTTTAGTCAAAGACACTTACCCACACAATCTCCAGTCTGCCACTCCAGACACTGGCCATAGGGAAAAGAGATGACATAGGCAGTTGAGTCAACACAACGCTGCGCACTGCCGCACCACATACACTCCATGGCCTGGCTGGTACAGTTGGCACAGGTGGTGTGCAGGGAGCAAGGCTTCTTACAGGAGGGACGGGTGCTCTGATTTGGGTTTCCTAGACGGGAAAGGCAAAGACAGAAAGAGAGGAACTGTAATTCCTCTGTGATGTTTCCAACATATTCATGAAGCATATGCATGCATGCAAGTGTCTTTTACCAGTAGCTTTTTCACAGATGAGGCCGTGGGCAGTGGCGGTGCATGGATTGGCCCTCAGGCCGGACACCTGAGGCTCCTCCAGGTAGGCACAGAAACCAGAGTCGCTGGGCTCGCCGGGCAGCCAGCGCAGGCTGCTGTTGGTGAAGGGTGACATGTCCTCCCAACCCCAGTACGATACGTTGATTTTTCTCAGGCCCACCCAGGGAGACAGCCGCTGTGGAGACACAGCAAAAAGGCTTAACACACATCGGCCTGACAAGTCACCGGGGTTTCAAATGTAAGATAAAATATCACAACTCTGCCTCCCTTTCTGCTCCATCACGCTATTTAAGAACTGAATAGCCACCGCGTTTACACATGGGAACCACGAATGCCATTAAAAGTCTACTGAAAATAATTTCACAGATGTGATTACTTATTTGCCTCCAGGATTCAACTTGTAATGTAATGGAAAAATGATGGGAAATGGCATGTCAAGGTTCTGTTTGGAGCAAACACGGCAGTTTCAACCCGGCAGACTGACAACAAATGATATCCTCATGAATACAGCAGGCATGACCAAACTAAAATCATCAGTGGACTCAGTAATTTTCTTTCAGTGGGAGGTAGATGCGTTGCTGTGGTGAGATGAGAACGTGAGCGTTTGCCCAAAAGCACATTTCATCATTTCCATTAAAGATGAAGAGGCTTGAATTATGATGTTGTTAGGACAATTTATATATATTTTTCCCATGAACAAATCATACGCTACGAGTTTCATGTGCTGTTCTCAACTGTACTGCTGGGTAGACTGGACTTCTAAGAATTGGGGGCCCAGTAGCTCTGAAAATTTTAACTTGAGAAGGGTTAAATTCCACAAACTGGCACACATTTTGACTTTGCATCACAGATATTCACTAATGCATTGATATATTTGTGTTTATTAAAGGAAAACTTCTGTAATGTTCAACCTGGACCCTATCTTCCCATGTTTTTATGTCTGAGTGGCTGATAGGAAAAGAAACAGGTTGTGAAATTGGTCGAGTACTGAGCAAGAGTACTGCAGGTGGCAGCAGATAAACAGGCTGCATTGTTACCCCTCTGGACATGTGTGCATCATCAATTCACGTTTACAAAGTGCTTGCTTTTAACACAGACAAGTTCAGGTTATTTAAGTGCCTGACAACATTATGGAAAAGACCCCTATAGAGATAAACCTTGTTGGTAAAGAGTAAGGTCCTATTTTTTTTAAATCAGACACAGCCAAGAAACTACCATTGACAACCTCATCAGACTCCATGTAAATAAACAGTCATTTTAGCGTGTATAGAGGCAGCATATTGTCAAATCTAACTGGGTGAATTAAGGGTTTATTAAGGTGTGCCATGGTATTTTGTAATAACCACACATTATTACTGCAATATTGAGTTTTTAATTGGCTGTATCAGCATGTTGTGCACACTGATTTCCTAATAAAGGGGCAAACTGTAGCTAAAAAATGTACTTTAATTTAAAAAACTGTCACGGGGAGCCTATTTGTCACTGTTTGCGCGTGGGAATTACAAGTGTGTGACACATCAAAAGCCCTGACTGGCAGCCAGTGTGAGGGATGATAACAATTAAAAGGAGAAAGCTGTGAGTGGGACTATTGATTGCTTTATTGTACGGAGAAAATTACAACAAAGCACCAGCAAAGACGACCTACCACCGAAACAAAGAGTATCACGAAAATCAGAACAGTATCACGAAAGCTACCTGTTTTGTTTTTTCTTATCTTTATTGCCTTGTGTCGGGACAAGAGTGATAGCACACGTTATAGAAGCTGCACAGATATTGATAAAGGTGTGCCTTCCGATTTTGGATGGCCCTTTGGTGTGTCTTGGACACAAAAAGTTTGAAAACTACTGATCTGAACAGTTAAATAAAAATGATCTTACTCTTTAACAACAAGGTCTGTGTCTCTAGGGATCTTTTCCATAATGTGGTCAGACACTTATAACAATAACCTGAACTTAGTGGACATAAATTGACGGTGCACACGTGCCCAGAGGGTTGACATTGCAGCCTCTTGCTCAAAACTGGTCCAATTAGTTATTCAGACACAAGACATGGGAACATAAGGTCAAGGTTAAAAAAAAAAAAATACTAAAGTTACACTCATAGTCTGGTTTAGAAAACTTAAAAAGCACAATATGAAAGCAGAGGAATTCCAAAGTTCCTCTGATCAAAGTGAAAGTACAAGCGAACCAGACTCAGCAGGCTCAGCCTTAGAAAGGTGCTTCTGATTTTTCCTACAGACAGTGAGTCATGCGGCCCTGGTTTGTTATACAAAGCAGAAAGAAGAAACTCTGACTGTGTTACAGAGGATAAAACAATTCAAACAAGGCAAAACAAAACAATACTGAGGTGCTGATTATCACAGGCTGATTCATCAGGTGTAGTATCTCACAAACTAAAGCCTAGCATTGCTGTCTACTTGTAATTGCGTCAAAGTCAAAAACAAACCATACTGCTTGTGGCACTGCCAAGAGGAAAACAATTTGATGAAAAATGGTTGAAAGACAGGAATCACAGGAGCTAAAAGCACGGCCGCAATCAGAAAACAGAAAACAGTGGCGCACGAGTACAAAACTGATCAGGAGAAAATCATCTCAGAACACATATCTCATTACTGACAGGCTCAACTAGCAGAGAATCACTCCCTGTTCTCTCCTGTCAGCTGAGCAGTAAGCTGCATACCCAATCACCTGACTTTCAAGGATTCCTGAAAGTATTTCTGACTGAATAAGATATACAGTATTTACCTTGTCTTGTTGCTGGAGCTTCTTCAGTTCCTCAAGCACAAAGTCCACTTGTTTGGAGGTGGTGAGCGAGGCGATGTTTCCGTTGAGGTTCTTGCAGTAGTGTTGAGCGTTGTCGTAACTCTCGCGGCTGGAGTTGATCCTCAGGCAGGCCTCCCCCACCTGGCTCCATCCCTCACTGCACTGCTGGGCTGGAGAAGTGAAGAGAAGATGTATGAGCCGAGATGTAGCAGATGTTACAATCCTGCAGTAACTGATCTTTTTTTACACTGAGGGGCAGAAGATGTGAACAAAACACTGACTTATCATAAACTTCTAAGTTGATGAGTTAAACTTGTTAGCAAACAGTTGGTGATTTACACATACAGCAGTTACAGAGCAACATCAGCACTAATGTAGAGTCATGTTTCTGGACACCTGGAAAATCTAAGCCCTACATTCATTCTCTTTCAACTCTGTTTTTGGTCCCTACCAATTCCTGAGGGAAATATCTCACTCTTTAGCCTCTAAATGCTCAACTATGTTCAGAAGCTAGTTGCTAACTTTACCTGTCTGCCATTTAATGCTAAGTAGGTTGTGTATAGAGGGTTTTTAGAGATTTTTTGTTGACAACAGCTGCCTTCTGTGGGCTTGAATAAAGCTATGACAGCAGTGCAAGTGAACCAAAACAGTGAGGCTCAACAACAAGCTGAAACCTGTGTAAAACTGAGCTGAGCTGCAGATTTGGGTTTAGGTACAAGGGATTAAGCAATACTGCTGTAAAAAGATCCGCCATTACGCCGGCTTCGCTTTTTTACGCAGAACCAAATAACGGCGGCATAATGCTGCCCCAGTTTGTGATTTCAGATTGCATGCCATCAAGAGGCGTGACATGTAACACAACAGCATTGGCGTCTAGTGTCATTTAAAGCCAAGACACACCAAAATGTCACCACCAAAAAGCTGCAGTTTGACACTTCGCAAAGACTACTGCAAACAGCCACCTAGCGCGTACGTTCTGCACCTGTGTGAGAGGAAATAACTCTCCATAACAGCAGGCTGGGGTACTGACAATAATGTCTACCGTTTCTGTGTTCGTACATTTCATACAGAACATCAAAGTGGACTAACGGTGCAACATTCCCACCTTGAACAGCCTGTATAAAGGGGGTCTTATTTTCACATGGTCATTTCATACATTTTTACAGAAATATAAATTATTGACGCTTTCAAATCAGTTATACTTCCAAACATTAGTTAGATACTGCTCAACAGGGGGTGCCATACTCCAAGAAAAAAGGACCACAAGTAGAGAATATTGTCATGAACCTAGAATGCAGGAAGTCTGCTTTCTTTCAAACCACAGGGGACTAAAGATTAAAGACTTTGCGTGTGCGTGTGTGTGTGTGTGTGTGTGTGTGCGTGTCAAACAGCTTTAGCAGGAGTGTAATCTGCATTTATTTGTCTTGGAGAAATGGATTGATTTTTGGACGCCAAATTGCCTGTTAATTACTGCTTATCATAAAAATACGATGGATTCTCATTTAGATGCATGTGTGTGCAAGTGCACATGGATGCGTGTACCCATTTTGTGTGTGTGTGGCTGGTGCCACCCAAGTTTGAGACTCCCTTTCAAAGAATCAGAAATACACGCTCGCACACACACACACAGATGATTTGCAGCTCCCACTGCTGCTATAAGCCCTCAGGCGACAAGGCTTCACGAACTGAAAATTATGGATAAAGTGACAGCAACAATTCTTCAGATTCAGCTGGAGTCAACATTTGGGAGGGGGAGTAGAGGGTGAGAGGTAAACTAAATAAACTGCCAGACCTGATAAACAACATCAGGATGACATCTTGAAAGTACATCTCTGCGAATACCAGATGCTGTCTTTGAATCAGATTTACAATACAATGTACAAATCCTAATAGCAAAATGTAATGAGTGTCTGTTTAAATATTCCCTCCAGGGTCTGAATGTCAGAGGAGTCATTCATTACAGTGAACACAACATCATCTCACAACATCAGTCACTGCTTTGTGTTGAATGTTATCCATGAGATCAAGGATACGGTTCATGTTTAATCATAAGTGCTACACTTACAGTGACAAAAACAGTAAATCTGAGCCTCCTCTCAAAGCCTTGAATATGGTGTAAGTTCATGTGTATGGAAATGTGCTGGGGGAGCTCCAACACGTATCTTACCAGGCAAAGCGTGGCACTCTGACTGATTCTGATCCCACTGACAGTTGAGATTCAGCGAGCAGCTCTTGCAGTTGGCGAGCTTGCTGCACACCTGCTCGTTCCGCACTGGACACTCGGTGAAGTTCCTCACGTTCTGCAGAAAAGACAGGGGAAAACAGAAGAAACAGGAGGACAGTTAAGCCTTTAATCTGAGATGGAAAAGGAAGTGTAGAGCGAACTCATGTGTGTATATATCCACCTCTAAAGCACAGTCCTGTCCTAGGAGATAAGCATCACAACCACCTAATAAAACCTGACTTATTACTTCATTTCAACAGCAATATATATCCCAAGCTCACAAAATGTCATGTGTGTTTCTATTTGAGTGTTTTAGGGAGCTGAACAGAAGACCAGAAGTGCTCTGACGCCCCCTGTTGGACCACTCACAGAGGTGCAGTTGCTGGCGGCAGAGATGCACTTCTTGTCATCGCACCACTGGCACCCATTGGTGTTGGCTGTACAGCTGGCGCAGTCGGAAAACCGGTAGCACCGCTCATCCACTGTGACTATAAAGATAGATAAGAATAATAAGAAGTTTATTAAAACCCACATTAGCAGTCATTAGTAACAGCTGAGAGCCTAAATGCCTGTGTTGTCACTCTGGAGGAAAAGCACACTCAAGAAACACAAAATATTATTTGCAAAAGTGGAAAGAAGGCATCAATCAGAAATGAGAGCTTTGATAAATATGCAAAAACTTTTGGATCGCTCTCTCACCAGCTTTCGGGGGGCAGAATGGGGCAGGAATGAGGCTTCCATTAGCCATGCTCGGCTCCCAGGGGAGACAGCGGCCTCTGCTCCAGATGCAGTGGACCCCTGGCCCGGCCTTCACGCACCCCTCCTCTGCCAAGAAGGCCTGGCAGCTGGGGGGTCTGTAAACAAGCACGTCATTGAGCAGCACGCCGGAGAAGCCCCCGAACACATACATGGACCTGGCAAAGACAACATGGGAACAGGGTGAAAACAAGAAGAAGCAAAAAAAAGAAACTTGACGATTTAATTATGGTCGTTTTTAACTTTACAAATATCCTCAGAGGAAAGAAAGTGCAGCAAAAAATTAATTAAAAGGATGTTTGGAACGTTAACAAGCATGATTATTCACAATTTCTATTTCAAATTCAAAGCCAAATATTGCCTTGGAAAACAGTCTTGAAAATTAAAAACACACTGAGTAAATAACTGTATTTTGGGGAAAGGTATGTAAAGAGCTTAAGCACGTGCTAGGATAGAAGGTTCCTAACAGTTGTTTGGTGCTTTATCTATGTAAATTTACTGAAGAAAATATTATTGCTAGTGACAAATATTTGATCAAATGATATTGCTAGCAGCAAGCAAGAAAGCTATCACTAGGACCTGGGGTAAAGTAACACCACCAACGAAGCACCAATGGTTAACAACTGGTCCTTCAACCAAAGGAAATCTTTTTAATGGAGAAATTAACACGCATACTGAGACTACAAGGGAAAAACTAACTCTATGCATGACTCAAAAAGAAGACACCGGACTGGAATAATAATCAATAGATACACTAATCTTTAAGGCTGTAAAAATGTGTATTTACCCACGCAGTTTTTGTTTCACTAGCTCTTTTTTTTTTTTTTATTATGATGTGAGACAAAAGTGAAAATGAAATGAAAGTGAGACTACTTTCAGTTACTGAGTTAATATCATGACAGATGAGTATAATATAAAGATATATTATGCAGGATTTCCATAATAAACAACACAGACGCATTCAGAGGTATTCCCTCTAAATCATACAAGTGTGTGGTGGTGTATTTTTCTGCAGAGAGTCTGCCTTCTGCCTGTATTTTTTTTTATTTTCTGTGCTCAGGACGTTAATGGGCGTGTACCCCCACAGCGCGCAGGTGAGGTAGGTGCTTAATAAAAAGGCAGTGATCAGGTGCCAGACTGTGAGCAGCAGGCAACCGAGAATAATGCAAATATAATATAAGGAGGTGAAATATCAAATGAGATTGAATCTGGCGTTGGCTTTTATTTTCACTTTCACTGGTAGGCGTGTTTACAAGAGTAACCAACAATATTGCATAGCACAGAAAAAAATATGTGTAATAATATGTGTGTGTAAAATATAAAACAAGGCAAAATGACCTGGATTTGGGTGTTAAGATATAAAAATGGTGAAAAATGACAAGCAGTCACATCTTATTCATGTTTTTAGTACAGTGGAAACCACTTATGTTCATCAGCTGTTTAAATAACTCACTTATAGTAATCAAGTAGTCCACTTACAGTGTTCATTTTGGGTCTTTTCATACATGGCAACATATGGAAACAATTTAAAACTCTGGAAGTTCTTTTTCTTTAACTTTACTCCCGTGATACTCTCATGGTAACTCTGCCTCCACCTGGCCACCTGCGGCTGATGCTGCATGCACATTAAAAATCATGACGGGAAAAAGAAAGTCATTTTCTCTCCATGAAAAACAGGGTTTGTGACAAACTGCCAAAAAAAATGAGAAAAACAACAACACGCAGCGTCAAAACTCGGCGTTCCTCAGGCTACCCTGCGTAGTCTACTCAAACATCCAGACACAGTCATGGCTGCCAGTGATGGAAACAGAAAACAGGGAAAAAAAAAAAAAAGCGTGTGTGGGGAAAGCACCTGTGGTTGAAGCCACCCTCGTCTTGTGGACTGATAATATCTGCTCACGTAATGTGACAGTTTGAAACAGCCGTGTTGCATTTTGAAAAAGTCAGTGAAATTCAGGAAATAGTGAAGTTGACCAATTCATTATGTTATATTTATGTAGTCCGGTGTGTTTTAGTCTGAGTGCAGACTCCTTTCACAAAGACTCACCCGTTGCTGACCACAGCGGAGTGACCAAAGCGGTTGACATCTCTGTGCAGGTCTGGTTTCGGCAGCAGCCTCCACTCGTCACAAGCTGAAGAACACATGACACCACATGTAAGAGAGCATCTGGTTTGTCTTTGGGTTTATGACATATTGACAGGATATTTTCATCAAACATTCAAGCTGCTAATAGCACCATGGGAGAGGTCACCACTGAAACTGCGACATGTTAGAAAAAGTAAAATGAGTCGTACCGATGTCGTAGGCGAGGAAGTCAGCAGAGAAACACTTGGCCCCGTTGCTGAGCGATGTGTCGTTATGTGTGTTGCCACCGAAGATAAGCAGGGTGCCGCTGAGCAGCACAGCCGAGTGCAAGTACCGTGGAAAGCCGCTCTCTCTCAGAATGAACCTAAAACATATGCATGACAAGTGCGTCAAGGGCAGGTGCGACGAGAAAAGGTGTAGCAATGCCATATACACAGACGTGTATGCATAATGTGTTGATTACCATGTCCGGGTGTTAACGTCATAGCGGTAGAGGTCATCAACAAGGCCGTACTTGTTGGCAGGCAGCGCCTTGTAGCCTCCGTGAACAAACACGCTACCACTGGCAGTGTCATACGTGCTGCTGTGGCCGTAGCCTCCCTGTGGAACGGCACCTTTGGTCTCAGGCACCAGCCACGTGTTGGACCCTGACGACAAGACATGAACAGGAAGCTTTTAATACAGAAGGAAGAAAATGACAGGAATCAAATGATACTTAATCATTTGGAGGAAGTTGGTCTCTTATAATGGCTGCTTAATAGTTTTTGCATTACTAAGGAACTTTATATTGGTCTCTGCCAGGTATATACATGATTTTGTTGTCTGCTCTTCTGACATGTTTTATGCTGCCTGTGTTTGTAAAGCACCTTAGTCAGCTTATGTTGTTATAATTGTGCTATGGAAAAGCAATTTCTTTGCCTTTAAAATCTTGATATTATGTGGCAAACAACAGACTGTCATGAGTGGCTAGTACCAATTTATTGTGTGCACTTTCTATCATTTTATGGGTTTAGATTATTAATTTTTCCGCTCATTACACTTCACTGACAACTGACAAAGAGGCTACAATGCTTCTTAGCTTCTGGGGTCCAAAATTTAATTGTGAAAATTGGTGGTTTTTTGGTGGATTTACAAGAGTTTAAGCAGGTTTTCAATAAAAAAAAGATCCATACCTGGTGTGGAACTATGAACTCATACCTCTACAGGCAGTCTGTCCTATCTATTCTTCAATACATTATGATGCACGTGTTTGTTTTGATTTTTGTGATCGGTTTTCGATGTCGTTGTTGATTTTTATATTTCGTTTCTTTCCAGTATTCCTTATCTTTGTGTACATATTAGTACTTTGAGATGAGAACTTGTGTTAAAGGAACACTTTGCCCACATAATGATAGTGTGTATATCAGTTACTCATGGCAAATCTATACCAAGACTTCCGTTCACAAACTTTCACACTACTTGAGCAGTATAATCCATGTCTCATATAAGCAGTCATATGCTCAGTGCTTCCCAAACACATGTATTTTGGCTAACATATTACAATTTAGGAAGGAGCAGCGACTGTACTCCAAGCGTCCAGAGGGAGCTTGCTGCTCCTTTGCGTCAAAAGGGGTCAGTAGAGATGGTTCAGGCATCTCATCAGGATGCCTCCTGTTAGAAGTGTGTAGGGCATGTCCAACTGGTAGGAGGCCCCGGGGCAGACCCAGAACACACTGGAGGGATTACATATCTCATCTGGCTTGGGAACGCCTTGGTATCGTGCTAAGGCATGCTCAGGGCACACTTCTCATGATCATAAGTGTTTTATATTGTAGCGTTTTAGCAAAAGTGCATGTGTTTGAGAAGTACTGAGTATACGACTTGATAAATGAGACTTGGATTATACTGCAAAAGTTGTGTGAGAATTTGTAGAAGGATGTTTTGATAAACTTTTGCTGGTAATCCCTATTTACTTCAATTCATGAATGTTCTCCTTTTTAAATCCACTGTTCACCCTAGAGGCATGCAGTTTTCTTCCGAATTCAAGGGAACAAATGATCATTCTGTGGGCAGGTATTTTTTTTTACTGTCATGTCATAAATGGATAAAAATCTCTATAAATAAAGCAAAGGAAAAGGTTTCTAAAGCACTGTAGAATTTCAAACCACTCTGACTCGCTGGTTTTGAAGCTGAGCTCAGACTCATCAAAACATTCTCCAAAAACTTGTTGTGTCAACCTGTTCTCTCTTATTAGGAGGAGATATGCGGATTAATGCCGACAGAAGCTATCTGGAATTTCAGTTTTGTACTGTGTTAAAGAGATACCTTTTCCTAGGATGTACCAGATATCATGCGATGGGGTGCAAAAATCTAGAGAGCCAATAGGCTGAGAAACAAACAGTCTCTTAAAGCTGTGACTCACTCAGGTTGTACTCCTGAACATTGCTGACGTAGCTATAGATGGGGGAGTAGCCAAAGATGACCAGCATGATGGCTTCGCCCCCGTCTAGCGAGATGCAGTGGGCTGAGTGACCCTCCACAGCGTAGATCTGAGCCTGGGTCGGTGGGCCAACCACAGGGTTTCTCCGCTGCCACGTCCGGCTGGGTATGTTAAACACCCACAGCTCATCTGTCACATTTGCCCAGCCCGCCTCCAGCTTCCCACCAAACATATAGATATCATCCTGAGAAGAGAAGAGAGTTCAGTGTTTAAATGAGCTTGCAGAGAAGCTGATGCATGCTGTAATTAAAGGGAAAGGAAAGGCTAAAGTGTGTCAAAACAACATGATATAAAATGTACTTTTTTAAACAAGCCTGTTAAGTTGAAATCTGTTCAGTTTATAGAGCCATAAAGCTTGCTCATCTTAGAAATAGGAACATTGTCGACTTAGAACCCAAATCTTTTTTCTAGTAATCATAAGTATGTAGTCATGCGAATGAAAACATGTCTCTTAACTTTGTGTTTGAAGCCGTGTAGTTATTTGAAGATGACATGTTAATACTGAAAATGAGCAATTTCCCTTTGAAAGCGACAGCTGTGGTTTCCTTCGTGTGTGAGCAAACTTTTATTGCTTCTTCACCCCCATCTAATTATCCCTCCCTCCTGTTAACAGTTGTGGTCTTCTAAATTCCATCTGTACCCGGAGAGGCTGAGGCAAATCTGTGTGTGTTTACCTGGTAGGCAGCGAGTGAGTGGCCATATCTTGGCACAGGGCCACTGTTGATGGGAACGGTGTTCCAGATGCCACTCTCCAGGTTGTAGCTGCAGAGCAAAGAAACAGAACATTACACTCTGATGCATGAAAACTTATGCAGAGCATGAAGCGCATTCATCACCTGCATGCTAAAAACACTGCACCAGGGTGTCTACAGATAAAACCAAGTTAAATTTAAGACTTTATAAGACCTTTTGAATACCACCTTAGATGAAATTTAAGACCGGGTTGCGGGGGCAGCAGGCCAAGCAAAGCACCCCAGACGTCCCTCTCCCTAGCAAACGCTTTCCAGCTCCTCCTGGGGGACCCCAAAGTGTTCCCAGGTCTGCCCCAGGACCTCCTACCAGTGGGACGTGCCCGCAACACCTTCAACAGGAGGCAGCCAGGAGGCATCCTGATCAGATGCCCGAACCACCTCAACTGACACCTGTCCATGTAAAGGAACAGCGGCTCTACTCCAAGCTCCCTCCGGATGTCCGAGCTCCTTACACTATCTCTAAGACTGAGCTCAGCCACCCCATTTTAGAGAAACACCGTGGGGAAAATTATTTTTCTTCGGTCTGTCCAATGATTGTAAACAGTCATTGGGTCTGTCAGGCCGGAGGAATTTTCACAGTAATGTGACCGAAAATATTTCAGACCCACTGAATCTGAATTTTAGACATTTTCAGACTTTTTAAGGCCTTATATTAAGAAAACTTAATTTAAGACATTTTAAGAGGACCTGTATACACCCTGTGCACACATATATCTTGTCCCTCCAAATATATTATATATATTTTTACCTCATGATCAGCTGATTTAATCAAGGCACACAAAAAGTAGCAGTTTCCTTAATGCTAAAGTGACTACTTTAAGGCCTTTTCACACCAAGGACGAAACGAAAAATCGCACCCAAGATATAGAATATTCAAAAATTTTCCTTATATTTTATGATCTTCATCTTATTTTGTCAAAGAGGACATTATATTGCAAGCTATCCATATTGTTGTGTGACAGTATGAAGAGATTTAAGACATTTGTGACATTACAACTTGTGTGTATGGGAGTGTATGTATGTAGCCATGTGTATGTTTGCATATGCTTATGTTTTGCTAGTATCATTTTTGTTTTGTATTTTTTTCACCTTGCTTTCAGCTCGAAAAGTGCTCTACAAATAAAGTTTACAAATATTATTATTTTTATTTTTTTATTATAATGACAAAAGTCACTTTATTGTTCGGCTTGTTTCTAATCGGCATTCAAAATTTGCAGAAATCGAAACACCTGTGGGACAAAAGGCTAAGTTTCAGAGTGTGGAAAGGCTGATAGAGATAGATGGGCTTGAATTTTTAAACTGACATGTGATTTATTTGCACAAATTAATTGCTTTTGGTGTGAAAATACCTTAAAAGCGTAGGTGAAGGAGCTGTGTGTAGGATTTAGTGGCACCTAACAGTGAGGACTGCAGACTGCAACCAACTAAAACTTCTCCGGTGTGAAAGTGTGAAATCCCAGTTACGATTCTTTCAGTGTTCATTGTTAAGGAGGTTTTTACCAGGAGCCAAATTACCTGCAGAGGTCTCGTTGCCTTTTAAACAAACTGACCAGTCGATAAACAGGTAAAAACACTTAATAAAGCAGTTTCGCGTTAAAAATCAGTGTTATTCTGACGCTGTTCGTCTCGTCAATGCGGGACTGCTTGGCCAAAAACCCTGAATGACCCCATCTAGAGCCAGTGTTTGGTTTGTCTGTTCTGGGCTACTGAAGAAACATGACGGTGTAACATGATGGATTCTGAGGACGAGGACCCACTACCTATGTAGACATAACAGCGCATTCTAAGGTAACAAAAATACAACAGTTCTTATTTTCAGGTGATTATACACCAAACACATCATACTAATTTTATTATATTCCATTTCTGCCAATAGATGCCCTTAAAGCCTGAACAATGGAACTTAAAAATACTTTTGTTTAGCTCAAGGTTTTGCACACAACAGGAAAAATGTTTGTAGGCATTCACAATACAACGGGACACCTGGTCATGTCATCACACATCGGTCATTTACTCAAAATACTTTTGGAGGCCAGGAACAATTTTCCTCAGCAATCACAGCACCTGATGATGAACGAACAGATGGCGCAGATGGAGAGAGCCTGTCCAGGCAATGAAGACGAAAAACTATCACTTAACTGAGCCAGGACATGAGTCAGCACAGAAGTCAGTTTTATCTGGACAGTCATCCAAGTACACTAAATGCTAAAGTCTCAATTTAGCTAAGTGAATGTGCAACGTATACATTCACAAAGGACACAGCTGAGATCTTAGCTTGGCAGTTTTGACAAAGTGAAACAGGTAGCTCTGACAATGGGTTGGGTTTTCTCAAGGGAACTGCTTCTAAGAAGCCACCAGCTTGTCCACACTTCCTCCTTTAATAGCTTTTGCTTAGATGTGTATGGGAGCATTTAAAGTAAGGGCATAGTCAGGACTTAATCTGAGGGTGAGGCTTTTGATGGAGTAATAAAAAAACAACTCAGGATATCAATACGTAAAGACCACACATCTGGTGGGCACGGCATGCTTTGGTGTTTGTTGATCTCCACTCTAAGGTGGACTGGTCAAACTAACACAATTGCGGAGATGGGGGGACAGAGCTGTCTCGCCTTTAAGCCAGCAGCAAAGGTAGTTACAGTGGTGAATCAACATTTGTGGAAAAGGGACAGCCAGCAGGACGGGACAGGTGTGACATTCTGATAATGTGTTATGTGTGCAACCCACTGCCGGGAAATTTAAAAGGCAGCTAGAAGCAGTTAGCAGCTAACTCAAAGAAGAAAAACTGAAACTGAAAATATCCACAAACTGAGGAGAAACTGAGGTCCAGGAGCTCTTTACACTCCCCACAATGAATAAATTCAGGCTGCCATGGAACAGAACGACTGCCATGTTATGCCACTGTTATTGAATGTGCTCCGTCCTTATGCCATGTGTCACACTAGAGCCTTATGCTGGCTCATCACACCTCTTTTGCTTCCACAATGTTGGCATGCTATCTAAAATCTCACACTGGGGTGGCTTGATGCTGCCATTGATTGATTCTGTGAAAAAAAGCAAAGCTTATGTAACGAAGGGGCTTCGCTGCAGCCCTATTGCAGGATGTCTGTGTAAAAAGGGCCCTCCTGCCTGCGTCCACTACTTTTACACCCATGGCCATGCAGTTCAGAGGATGAGATCTGTGTGTGCTGCACACATACACAGATTTGGCGGAGACCGGCTGGGAAATGCCTTTGCTACTCTACTCGCATTTAATAGCAGCCTACTTCCATGTTTTGAGTCAGTTGGTTTTCACACCTGAGGAAAACTGTACCTGAGTACACATGAACCACATCCGAGACCACCTTTGAAAGTGGACTCAGGCACAGATCGACATACTGTGCCTGTAGTCATGTGTACTCAGATCTGAGCTCAGGTCCCTGATGTGAAAGATGTATTGTTTTATTTTCTCATTCAAAAACACATAAACAGACATTTTGCTTGTGGAAAAATAAATACTTTAGGACAGTGGTTCCCAACTGGTCCAACCACAGAGTCCAGATTTCTCCTTAATCATCAGTTCAAGGTCCACAGTTTAATACACTCAGTTTCATACTTGTGTTTGGTCACGTCTTAAAGTTAGTTTACTGTCTCTGTCACGTGGCTGTCCGTGAGTCACTCAGGAAATGGCACTTCAAAATTGGGAAGTTGGGAACCCCTGCTTTAAGGACACACTATGCTATGACTTACTTGAGAATCATCTGGAAGGAGCTGTAGTTGAACGTGTATCCGCCCACCACCCACATGACCTTTTCTTGCACCACAGTCTTATGGGAGGCTCTGGCGAGTGATGTGCCAAAGGGCTTGACACTTGGGAGGACCCAGAAGGACTCTGTTGATGGTACAGTTAAGGAGCAGTCTGGGCCTACGAGACAGGATGAGAAAGAAATTAACCTCGAAGATCTCGGCTCAACAGTTACAAAACAAAATTCTCTTCACAGCTGTGCTATTTTAAGATAAAGAACGACATTCTGGGATGGAATTTTTCAGCAGCATCCGACACATGTTTTCATTCCTACTCAGTGAAACTTTGAAGAGCAAACATGCCACTCTCAAACCTAAACAGAAGCATGACCACTCCTTAACCCAACATGACAGGCAGGGGAGGTGTGAATATGTTAAACTGTGTGTGAATGAAGGCCGCGCTGAAAAAAGCGCATGCCTCTGCTAATGATTCTGTCAAGTTTCATCACGTGAAAGCATTTGGATTCCTCCAGCTGGAGGCCCATAATAACGCTCTGTCATAGGGCTTACCGGCGTGTTACCGATCAGCATTATGACACAAAACAACACAGCTGTTCACACTTGTCTGCTAACAAGGTCTTCATTACGTCTTCCTGCATAATCACAGCAGCAGACACGGGGGGAGTGACAGCATTTTACAACCTGTGATTGCAAAAGTTTGAGCATGTGATTCATCTCTCAGTGTTCAGAGTGCTGTAAAATGATAGATAATGATAGGTCTTAAGTATTCTAGTATTCATAACTGTTGTGAGTTAAACAAGCTAAAAGCTGATCCATAATACATTTGAGAAGAGATATTTATTCCACTGATATTGCAAAGTTTGGTAATCCACTTTGGAGCTAGATTTACATTACTTTACAGCATCTTTCCCTTGGTCATAAACACTCTGAACCCCAACTAGCATTGAATAACCTCTTTTTATAGTGCAAAATTTCATAGTATGTATTGATTTTACTTATGAACCTGTGCTGTCAGCTGTGGCAGTCTGTTTTCTGAAGGTGTTTGTGTTATTTTCCTGTGTCTCTTCACTGCACTGAATAGGTGTAGCACTCCTAATTTCGTTGTATACCGTACCATGACAATCAAGGTTTTCTATTCTATTAGATAGGACAGGTTTAGCCTGAAAGAGGAAGTGAAAAAGGGGTTATGACGTGCAGCAAAGGGCCGCAGGATGGAACTGAACCTGCAACCGCTGCGGCAAGGACACAGCCTTTGTGCAATGGTAGCTCTACCAGGTGAGCTACTCTGTACCCCAGGCTAATAATTCTACACTCAATAAAACAATATCAAACTCTGGTAGAGTGGGGTCCAGATGTGTCAGGTCACACCAGGTTATACTGCTGTTGTAGGGGCAGATAACGGCAATATTTTGGGCATTTGGGTGTTAAAACTCAGCTTCCATCATAATCATTCTTAGCTGGACATTTCACATTTTAAAACACTCCGTTTCCTCAAAGATTTTCGCGACAACATTGTGAAGTTCTAAAGCAGTGTTGCTGTGTTAATTGTCCACTTTCTCTTGGTACATGCTAAAAATGTTTCAAAAGGCTAGTGTGGGTGGCTTACAGAATAAAATCACATTAAAGGAACACTTCACCCACAAAATGATCATGTCTATATTCATTGCTCACCTCGTGATACATTGAATTTATTAAGAAAACTTTTTTTCGTTTTTCTCATATGTCTCCACAGTGAAAAAAGAATCCAAAGTTCTTGATGACGGAAACCAAATTTCATCATCAAAACTACATAAAATCATCCATTTACAACCTCTCACACAACTTGTGCTTTATAATCCGAGTCTTATTTATCAAGTTGTATGCTCAGTGCTTCCCAAACACATGCAAAACCTTACTATTTAAAACAATTTGCATAGGAGTAGCGTGTCTGTGCAAGCACATGCATTTGAAATCTGCTTGGCATTCCATTGAGTAAAGTTCAAATGCATGTGTGACTCGTCTGTGTGAGACTGTTTATGCTGAAGTGTATGCATGTGTTTGGGGAGTATTCGACTGGATAAATGAGATTTGGATTACACTGCACAAATTGTGTGGGAGTGTGTAGACGAATGTTTTGATAAAGTTTTGCTGTTGTTAAACACGGACTCCTGTGACTTCAATTCATCAAGAATTTTATTCATTTTTGGATTCTTTGTCTTTGGAGGCATGTGAGAAAAACAGTTTTCTTCTGTCATTGTCACGGAGCGTTGTTTCTGTGGGCTCCAGCAACACTAAACCCCTAAGCTTGCCTGAGAAGGACTAAATGCACAAACTTGCTATTTTTAAATATCCCATAGAGAGAGACTCTCACTGCAGCCTGTTCTATTTTGTTCTCAAAATGTTGATGTGAAACCCTGTTCTGTGGACAATAAACGAGGTGCAGAGTGATAAAGGAGGAATTACAGTGAGTGCTGGATGGAGCAGTGAGTGACAACAACCCTGCCCACATGAAAGAGTACTGTTTGCGGTGAGAACGTTAAGTGGACCAAGGGTCGAGGTACCATGTCTGAAGGGTTACTTTTGGTTCCAAAGGTACCATACCGAAAGTGTTTGGTGGAAACAGGGCTTTAGTTACATACTGCTTGGGAATAATGTCCCAATCTTAACTGTATCTCTACTTGGTTTAGATACTTTAGGCCTTGCTTTGGATCTGACAGTCTGCAAATCTTTTGGGTTTGCACAGAGCTTTCTGTTACCTTGCCAGCTGTCATTGCAGACACACAGCTTCTCCCCGGTGAGGTCGCAGTAACCGTGGTCGGGGCTGCCGCAGTTGTTCCTGCAGTAAGGGATGTCACAAGCCTCGCCTTTCCAGTACTTGTCACATTCACAGTACACTCTGCTGGCAGCCGAGTTACCCGGGGTGCACTTCCCATGGCTGGAGCAGTTATTGGGACATGAGTTGATCCTGGACAGAAAGATGTTTTCATTTAGCCAAACAATGTACACGCTATTTAGGCCACTCACAGACCTTCACTTGGAGACAGAGGAAGATTAATGAGCATCATCTCGTGTTCGACAAAGGTGCAGAAGATACTAAGATGGGTAATGGATGAAAAGCTATTGAGCAGGTCACTGGTCATTAGCAGTGATTGTTGTTGCGAGTTTTAGTCTGACAGAAAAGCTCTTGTACCAGTCTTTTTGTTGCTGAGATGAAACATGTTACCATCCATCACCAGCTAGGTGAATTAAATGGACCTGAAACCAGTCCACTGTAGCTTACAATAGATAAGACACATCAGTGAAAACTTGGAAATGTCTTTTAACACAGGTGACGGCCTAAAACACAACCTCAGCTGAGTGCTTCCCGCTGAGTAATCCAACACTAACAATATAATCAATGTAAGGTTTTATATTACGTAATGTTTTGCTTGTGGATTAAGTTCAACTGTAGCTCCTGGACACTTACGAGTAAAATATTTCAAATCCTGTCAGGTTATAGGCAGCATCGCTGAAAAAGTGTAGTAGTGCGTAGCCTGAAGTCGTCTCAACCTCAGGGACCGTCTCATTTCCTCGTATCTCTGGCACAATGAGACCACTAAAGGGAAGTGGAGAAAATTAATTGGCATCACTTTCTCACAACTCACACAACATTACAGTGACTGGCAAGAGCAGGAGTGTCAAACATACAGCCCACAGGCCAGAACCGACCCATCAAAGGGTTCAATCCAGTCCAATTAATGACTTATACCTTATATTGGTGCACTTAAGACGGCTAAGGATGCTTTCAGACCTAGAGTTGTCTTGCTTTGGTCTGAATCAGGGACTAATTTTGTTACAAAGTTGTATAATTGCCTAGAGTTGATTTGTGCTCTTACAGCAGCATTTACAAGTGGACCAGATCAAATGCCTTGTGTGAGAAAGCTGCTCTTGATTGGTCAAAATTTCCATGTGGGAATAATCCAGGAAGTAAACAAAACGTTGAAGAAGAATACACTTGCAAGATAAATGTGACACTTTCTAATGTCACAATGGAGGGACAATTACGCAGGTTGATTTTAGTGCTGGTCATCGTGGACTATATTGCTGTCATTGTTCGTATTAGGCAAACTACTAGACCTAGAAAACAATGTTTGGTTGCACTGGATGCACCGTATGTGCATATTAAGGCAGTACAGGAGGAGGTGCACATTAATAATCCTCCAGGACTGTAACATGCTCATGTTTAACCCAAACAATGTCATGTGACTGCAGTTGGTTCGGATCAGATCACACCAGAGTTCATTTGTAACCAGATGGAGCTCACGTCTTCAAGAAGGTATAGGTCCAGATGTTTTGGTGCGACAATGATTAGGAGACCGATTGAATGTGGACAACCTGAGAAATACTGTTGAAACTGCACTAACTTTTCTTGAGACATCTCAGGCTGGTCATCATCTGTTTTGCAAATGTATTAATGCTTTCCAAATGTACATGTACTTCTTAAGACTAAAATAAAGTGTGGCCCATGAACTAAAATGAGTTTGACACCCCTGGTCTGGACTCATTACATCAAATGAAGAACAAAATCATTTTAACCTCATATCCAAGAAAAACATATACATCCACTTAGAACAACATATTTGCTAAAGTGTCAATACATTATCTCATTTTAGAGTTTCTCACCTGAAAACAGCAACCAGCGGGGCATATATCGAGTCCCCATCATAGACGTACATATGGTCCCAACTACATTCTGTGGCAAAGTGGTTAAATCTTAACCGAAGAACCGCATTTGGACTGTGGAGGAAAAAAATGAATGATGGTTTAGGTTTCATGGATGAACATTTGGACTGCATACAGATTTTTTTTCAAGTGCAGGATTTGCTAATAGACGTAGTATTTATTGATGACAACACTGACACATTATCTTTATTGTAGTGTAATTGTACTCTAGGTGCCCGATGCACACAGCCTGTCCATACATCCGGATGTAATTTAAGTATAACACTGAAAACACACCAAGCAGTGGGAAAGTGTGGCCTGTGGCGAGCTGCTATGCTTTCTATGGAAAGCTTTTGAGCTTCTGATTCTGCAGTGATGTCTGGCCAGAATAAAAGTTGAGGATAATTCAACTTTAAGCAGCGAATTGCGGCCAGAGAATACCCATGGCCAATCATCATCAGAGTCCTGTGACTCCTGGGACATGCTGACTGACGGTACAAAGAGTTTCTTCCTGCCTTCAGGCCACAGAAAAATGTAATTATTCCGCCAAGTTGCACTTCACCACTGCTTGATGTGTTTCAGGAGGAAGTGAACACAAAACAAGTTATTCATAAATATACATAAAGGGATATTTTGCAGATTTCCAACCATATCTGTGTCACCGCAGTGTGGGGAGGTTATGCAAAGTGTTTGGCTTCCCCCCTGGAAAGTTCCCACCCGTGCTGTGAGCAAAAATCAACTGGATGACGTAAAGCTCGTTTTTTTGTGTCACTGATGATGTATTTCATGTCATGCAGCGGATTTTAGCTGGTGGATGGGCCGGGAGCTCGGAAAGCTGGCGGCATGTGGGGAAGCCAAACAGCATTTATCTGCACACACTCCCCAACACAGACCTGATGGAAAATCAGCAAAGTATTCCACTGGATACTGATTATCATTTAACCAAAAGAATACAAGGATAAAAACAATATATGTTGTTTTTCTCAAAATGTTTTAAGGACCTAGGGGTGATAGGCTGCCCTCTCTTTCCATCCTGCCAATTTCCAAACAGCTCTGTCCTCACATTGACCACGGTTGTCATGACAATTAAAAGCATCACCAGGTACAAGGGTTCTTCGTCTCTCTGGATGATTGCTGATTAAAAATGTAGCAGTCAAACCCAGCTCAACAGGCAAAGATTCAGACCCCTCCGAATGCTAGATCCCACTTTACATTATACTGTGTAAGCAACAACAAGCACACTTCCTCCAGCAGAGATGCAGATCGCCTCGCTTTAATTGCTTTAATCAGTTTGCACTGCATAATTAAATTTGGCTGCACGTGCTCAGCTTTGGTTAAACATACCAATTTACAAAAAGTACTTACTAGCCCTCGATAAGCCAGGTGCACTTTGTTTTGTACTTGTAGTTGATTGGACCGTCGGTGAGGTATCCTGAGGGCTCCGTCAACCTGAAACAGAAGACAGACGTCAGCACAGTCAGCACAGTAATGTCTTATCACAGAGGCTGGACTAATAGAAGACAGCAATGAAGACATGAACACAGGTCCTAAGACTGTAGCGTCCTGAAAGTGCAATTTATTGGCACATTTATGAGTGATATTATGAGCTAATGCTCATCTTCAGACTTAGCTATACATACAGAGACGCCATCTTTAAACACAAGCACTTTGGTCATATGATGATCACGGTGAAACAGTAAACCAACAGATAAAGAGAAAAACACATATACAGATGTAATATAGATAACAAACAACAACAACATCAGGCCAGTAGCTGTCATTTCTGCTATATAGATGGATCCATATAGAGGCACCTTTGGATTTAAAATTGCATGTCTTAAACAAATAGGAACAGAAATCTACAATATATACAAAGGAAGGGAACTACAGATTAAAGTTGAATGATACGAATAAATCTAAACAAACAATTCTTGTAGTATATGTTCATGGACTGATATGTATGTATACATGTATGTACAGATTAAGCTTGAGTTACATGCCAACTGTATTGTCTTGATGTTAATGCCAACGGCTGTCAACTCAAGGTAAATTTTTTTCACAACATGGGTTAGCGATGCATGATAATATCGGCATGTCATCAGTATCGGCCAATATTATTATTAAAATGAACTATTAGGCTAGAATCAGCCAACATGCTTCTTCGTATTTTGGATAATGAATCAATATTATATATATTGAAAAGTATTCTAGGGCGGCACGGTAGAGTAGTGGTTAGCACTGTCGCCTCACAGCAAGAGGGTTTCTGGTTCAATCCCAGGAGAGAGTTTGCATGTTCTCCCCCTGTCAGTGTGGGTTTTCTCTGGGTACTCCAGCTTCCTCCCACAGTCCAAGGACATGTAGGTTAATTGGTGACACTAAATTGGCCGTGAGTGTGAATGGTTGTCTGTCTTTATGTGTCAGCCCTGTGATAGTCTGGCGTCCTGTCCAGGGTGTACCCCGCGTCTCGCCCTCAGCTGGGATACGCGACCCTCAAGAGGATAATCGGTTACAAAAATGGATGGATGAAAAGTATTCTATTTCATGTTTCCATCGGCTGGCGGACCATCATGATAAGAGTAATATGATGTTAATACCAGAGATACTAGATACTAGAGACTTAATTATCACTGATGTTATGATGTTAATACCACTCAAGAAGAGACTTAATGATCACTAAAATTAGGTAGGTAGTGGATTTGTCAATATTGGTTTTGGTTACAGGTCAAATAAGTTGTTCTATATCGGCATATTGGATATCATCAAAAAACCCAATTATCATGCATCCCTAACATGAGTGATGCAGCTTGGAAAGTAGCATCCGATGTTAAAGCCAGAAAAGACGAGGAAAAGAGCATCTTTAACAAATAGTAATCATCGACTTGTTGTGTTTAAGACAGAGGACCTTCTCCGAGATATCAAAAACATTAATCAAAGTGCTGAATATTGTTGTTTGAAATCTGTACTTTCAGAAATAGCATTCAGAAATTGAACATTTAAGCTTCACGACAGTAAGCTAATGTCAGAAAAATTGGGAGTTCAGTAAGTAGATTGGCCTAAGTCTCTCATTAAAATCATCCTTCTGGTCTGACTGTTCATCAGGTGATAAAAAACATGGCTGAAATCCAGAAAATGCTCTGGGTTGAAAAAGCATTTTGTAGTTCAGAACCAGTAGTACTATTACACTAATTGGACATCAAGCTGAAATGACACAAACCACTTTGGTTGATGTGTCACTTCATATTGCCAAACACTGTTAAGTCCTCTGGTTTGTTAGTTTTAAGAGTTTGCAAGTAGAGAATCTTATTCATTAAGTTCTTTTGACAGTATAAAATTAACAAATGACAACTGCTTTTCCTTTGTGAAGCACCCAGCTCTCTGGGCAGCTCTCGTTCAAGAGAGTTAAAGCCAAAAAAGTGGAAGAAACAAGAGCACAGTATTAATCATAATAATCATCTAATTTGATGTGTCGCCTAAAAGACAAGAGGATCTTCTCCAAGACATCAAACACACGAATTAAACTCAATTACTGAATATTGTTGTTTGAAAAACATTTCATAAATTGTACATTTAAGCTTTTAAACCGTAAGATAGTGTCATACAAATAGGGAGTAAGTACATTGTCTTAAGTCTTTGTCACTTAATTAAAATAATCCAGCAGAAGCTGAGATGCGGCTGCTGGACAGAGCTATGATCTGTTTGGAGACCAATAACAAGGAAAACAAACATGCATATTTAGATTTTAAAAAGTCAGTGAGCATCACTGAAGTGTGCTTTTTAATCTGGTGGAAGAATTTTTCAGTCAAAGTTGAAACAACAAAGATTTGATGGGTTAAAGTGTGATTTGCAGTGTCCACCCCATTGACTCCAATAAAACTGACACCAAACTCTGGCTTCTCGAACGCTGTCACTGTCATCATGACTGTTCCTTCTTTCATATTTTCTTTGCGACTAAGCTTTAGACATGACAATCTTGAAAACTTCCATTTTCATTTGCAATTTGCCTGGTTTTTATGTTTCTCAAACCACCCTACAGCAGCATGACGCCCAGTCAGTGGTCTGTTGGTCAAAAGTGGTTGAAATCCAGACAATTTTTTAGGTTGAAAGCATTTTGTAGCTCAGAATTTGGAAGAGACATCCCGATGTAACGACACAAACATTTTGTGCAACTTCAGCTGTGTGTCTGAAGTCCTCTGGTATGTAAATGATCTCACTAATTAAGTATCACAAAGTAGAAAAGTTAACAAATGCCAACTGCATTCTCTGACAAACACTCATCTCTTTACATTTTAAACAAAGGTCAATCAACTCTGACAATAATTGATCAAAGTATTCCTTGACACTGAGAAGATCTCTCATCCTGGCTTAAAGTCTTCTTCAAAGGTGAACTCGTGTGTCTGATTATAGAGCAACACACTGCATTCAATTCCCCAGATTCAAGATAAGAAGCCAAAAATCTGTCAGTCAGTCCAAGGTCAATCCCTGCCAACCAAACGATTCAATCATCTGTCTCTTAAAAAGCTTCCTCTGCTCCTTTCTGCCCACACCTCAAGTCTGACACTGGAAACAATTCTCAACAAAGTCTTCCTCTTCACCCCACAGACCACACTAGTGTGCCACGATGACAGATGACTTTTAAATGGACATTCGTCACTGTCCCATATCACAAGAAATTACACTTATATGCATCCCACCCACAAGACTGTGCCATTGCACTCAAGAATGAATTGAAAATGATGAGGAGACAGATTACCTGAAACTAGTTTCTCGACACAGGGACGCATTTTCTGGTTTGCAACAGATTGGGCTTTGATAGAAAAAACTCTTTTGGATGTCAAAGTTGAGACAAATACTTCATGAATCCAAAAATGGCTATCAGTCAGAGTCAGGCCTTGACAGACTGAGAGCTCTGGTTCTTTTATTTCTGACTTTGGAAGCTGCACAAATACATACTGCGCTGTTGTGGGTGGTCTGAGTAACACAGGAACTGGATTCCCTTTTATGTCTACGATACATGATATAAGACGACTTTCAATTTGGGGGTTTTGACAGCATAATGGGCTAGACATGGGTTATAATCTCATAAAGGTATGACAAGATTCAAACTTGATGTGTATCTTAAAACAGCTCCCTCAAAATTATTTTGGACTTTGTTTACTCTCACATCATAAATCATCTACTATAATAGATATGCTTGAGATATTGATAGACTTTATGATGAGTCAACTGATCAAGGGGCACATTTATGATATAAACACCCAACTGCATGCAACCAGCAATGAGTTAGGGCGGTGTAGACATCCAAGAGTGATGAATTTTTCATGCCGCACTTTGGACTTCACAGGGAAATACTATACTGTGCAAGCGCCTGTCCCTAAACAATTCAAGACTCTGTGTGACATTCGGTCCTTGTCCATTTAAAATCAGACATTATAACGCATCATAAACACGAAATTAAGCTGTGATTCTGATTTAAACTTTCAAGATGGGATTTCATACTTGTTACAAAGGGAAGCCACAACGTTTTCATACAGCAATGTGTAACTGGTCATGTATTAACCAGGGTGCACGTCTCCACTCCGCTGACTGCAGAGAGACCAACAGTTAAATTCTCACATTTCAGCGGTGTGTCTCTAGGTGATGGGGAGGTTATTCCCTGACAACATGCCTGATGACAACCTGTACAAAACCTCAGACACATTCAGGAGTAATGGTAATTACTGTGATCAAAGCACTTCTGTACCACAGAGCGCATCTCAGGTGAACTAAAAAGCTATTAGATGCTCCTGTCAAAAGATTATTATTATGGAGCAGTTTGACGTTTATTCTTCGGTCACTTGCCATTATTTCCCTGCCTTTTCCAAATTACTACCTATGTGCGCACAATCCTTAACTTATTGCACCTACTTGGAGGTTGACATGGCATTTACCTGTGTGCAACAGCCATATTTGTTGAATTTAGGAGCAATATACCATCCAGGCTGCAAGGCATATGCAAAATCAATCAGTTGCAGATGTTTCCCCCCAAAGCCACTATAGGCTCCTTTGTCTGGCAAAAGCTGGAGGAATTTATTTCTTTCAGTATTTGGAATCAATGCAAATGCATCAGACTGTGAGTCAATAAAATAGTGCATGTTGGGTCTTCTGGTCCATGCACACATGTGCAGACTGGATTGTGAACATCAGTCATGTGGGTATTACATTCATATATCTCCAAGTTAACACAGATAAATCACAAACAACTAACTGAAGGACTGACGGAGGCTGCAGGCAAAGTGAGAAATATTCACTAGATGATTACTTGGATAATCAATTAGTCATCCACCAGACTCTAATCTGCAACTTTTCTGGATTAAAAGTCAATTTTCAAACAAAACACCAACATTACTTAGTTCCAGTTTATTAACTGTGAAGATTTGCTGCTTTTTTGATTGTGTTGCTTAACTTAATCTCTTCTAGTTTTAGAATCAATTTGAATGTGTCATCTTGGGGATTTAGGAAACTGTGATGAGCTTTTTTCTAACACCAAAAGATTAATCAAGGAAATAATCACAAGATTAAGTCAGTGGTTTTCAAACTGTGGGGCGGGAATAGATCTACTGCAGGTGGGGTGTGGATGATCAGTGAAAAAATATGCAGTGAGTCAAAGCTGAATGAGTTTGCTGATGCTATCATGCTGAACTTTATATTTCACCTAATTTTTTTAATCTGATGGTGGTGTCAGCAATTTGGTGTGGGGGTGCATGAACTTTTTTGTCTTGTTTTTAACTGGATAAGCAATGATGGAAATGATGCACCCAAAAATTCAAAGCTGGGCCATATGCTTGTTTCCATTCCAGGCATTTCCATACAGATTGTTCATCAAATATTACAAATCTGTGTCAATAACCCCTGAATCTTCTGAGTGCCGAGCTCAACAGGTCTGTCGAGGCTGCTGGTTCATTCAAAAATACAGTTTTGAGGAAGGTTTGGGTTGCTGTGCTTAATCAAAGTGTGTAAAGGGGGTTTGTTTTTGTCGTGTGAGTGAGTTTTTTCATTTTAACTGCAATCCATCTCCCAAAAAGCTGGGTGCACACAAGTTTGAGTGCCAGTGATCTCTGCTGACACTGTTATTTAATGCAACACAGCCACAACTGGATCATATTTGATCCTAACCTACTTTGGGTGGCTCAGACTATTTTTAAACTCAGGAATTATGAAAACAATGACAAGCAATCTGATGTTTGTCACAGCTGAGCTGAGATTTACTCACTTGAACCTCCCTTGGCAGTGCTGGCACTGATCTCCAACCCATCCTCGGTCACAGATGCAGGATCCGTTGATACATTTTCCAGAGAGACAATTCTTGTCACACGGTTTCGCCGGGGAGGCGTGAGTGAACAGTACAAAGTAAAACAACACATAGACCACCAAGTATCTGTTGATCCCCCGCAGGTCGCTGTGGGAGGCTACTTTGGGTCCGAAAAGAAAGAGTTCAGTCTTACATTTCCCCCGAGGATCCATTTTTGCTTTGCCAGGTCGACGAAGCCGAGTCAAAGACCGGGGCCTTTAAGGTCTGCTTTGGGAGGAAGCCTCGGCTACTCAGGCTGTTTCAATTACAACAAAGAAGTCCTGCATATTCGCTGAGTGTTATGCATACTCACATGAAGGCTTAGCTGAGCCTGTTTACAAAGCTTTGGAGGAAAATGGCTGAGGAAATGCAGTGTTAGCTAAGTGTTTTTAAAGGCTGCTTGTTTAACCGCATGCATAGATTTGGAGTGGGAGGAATTCCCTTCACCCGACCTCTTGCTGGAAGAACCGACCAAAAGAGCCGACCATCGATTAAAGCTATTAAAGCAGCTAACTCGTTGAATGCTGTGCCTAGCTAAAACATCATTTGTTAGCCTGTGTAGCTTATTTACAGTTTAGCTTCAGCTAGGTAATGTAACGTTACTGCATTGATTCAAGACCACTCTCTTCCAAATGCCATTTCAGCAGCCATTTTAACGCGTAAACAATCCTTCAGACTCAAACAGGGATGTACATTGTAACATGCGATGGTCCTTCCACAAACCGCTGTGATTTAGCCGGATCTTTGCCACAGAAGAACAAAGGGGTTGTGGTGTTTGTAGCCCTGGACCCAGTACGAAGGCTGCCGCAGTCAACATGGATGTGGTGTGATGTGGGAACTGGAAGGCTATTCTTGCCGACTGGGGGGCATTGAGCGAAAGACTTTGAACTGTTGTTGGTCCGACTGGTCTATTCCCACAGCGGTTTAAGCATCTTCAGACGTGGACTTCGTTGACAGAAGTGTGTGGTGGTGTCTCCTTGTATTCCAGTGAGGGGAAAAAAGCTCCGCTGTTGCTCTCAAAACATGACAAGAACTGGCAGCGACGGATTTCCTAGCGCAGCGACACTAGACAGGTCCTCAGGTTGGAGAAAACTAAACACAGGCTGCGCATGCGCACTGGGGGCAGGCTCTATTTAAAGGTACAGTGTCAAAAACCGAGCGAACGATTCTATGCGGCATTTATAGGCTGAAGTTTATTAAGGTCAAAGATTACCAAACATGTTTGCATAAGACCACAGAGACACACATATTGTCCTGGCTGTCCTTGTCCCCTGACTTTAAAATATAAAATATCTCACAGGTAGAAGCTATTTTTTAAATAACATACAGGCAGCATTGGAAAGTTAGGCGTATTTAAAATACAAAATAAAAGCTATATCCTCACGAGACCTTAATTTCTCCGAGTAGTGGAGTAGCTTAGCTCAAAAATAGGGAAGAATTGTGCAGTTTGTGATAAAAGCATGAAATTTCGTACACTTAAAATATTTGGATATGGAGCCATCTTGAGTTTTCAATATGGCACCCATTTTTCAAAATGGCCACCAGCAACAACAGTTTTCTTTTGAGGGATGGATATTGAGGACACAATTAGTTAAATATATTTACTATACCATTGTGAATTTCCTTTTGCATACACTATATCCATCACACATAAGAAAACGTTTGTTGCTGGTGGCCATTTTGAAAAATGGCTGCCATGGCCAGGTCCATGTCATTGGTCCGACGGCCCATTAGTCTGACGGTCTGCGGTGCTGAACAGCTCCCAGCGGGCATATTTCTACCTTGATGGTGTGCTGCAACCGGCTCTGGGTCAGCTGGGAAAGGCTTGAGGCGAAGCAGGCTCACGGCTTATGTGTTTGTCACTTTCTTTTTCATTTTAACCCACACCATGATCTTTTCCTAACCCTAACCAAGTGGTATTTGTGCCTAAACCTAACCAGACCTTAACCACAGGGCATCACGATGATTTCGGAACGGACTTCGGAACAATGGGTTTCATATGGTGGGAACAATGGGATGTCGGACCAATGGGCAGTTCCCGCCATGGCCGCCATATTGACAATTCAAGAAGGCTCCATATCTTCTTATTTTCAAAATGTCTTTGGCTATAAGTGTACCAAACTTAATGCTTAGCCTATATCACAAAGTGCACAATTGTTTTGGTTATCTGCCCCACTATAGCTATTTGGGATCTGTAGGACCCGGTAAGTATGAGAAACAAAACATTGTCAATGATAATTAAGTCCCAATGTCCTCAAACAAGACAACAATAAAGTCCCAGTGTCCTCAAAGAGACAACAATAAAGTCCCAATGTCCTCAAACGAGACGATAATAAAGTCCCAATGCTCTTACACAAGTACTTCCTAATCAACAGTGTCTTAGCTTGTTACTGTTGGTAAAATTGGTCAAATTTGTTGCCATACGAAACTACAAACATCATTAATCATAAATTTACAAGTTTCAACCATAAAATGTGATTAGGTGTTAATCCTTGTGCACTTTTGTGTTGGGAACAGCTGCAGACTGACTTGGCAGAGATGGCTGCCATCTTGTTTTTTTCATGGATTAGTGTATTGTGCTCTTACTACCACTAGATGGCATAAAAAAGTGTGCACGAATGAGGACAACACATCTATGTTAAGTAGAATGAAGTATAAGGTCAAGTAAACCCAAAATTTGATGTCCTCACATGAGGACACAGGGTCTCAGGAGGATATAGACAGAGCGCATTTAAGTCCTGCCCCCACCGGAGATGAAAACAACGCATCACTTGAATTTGTATTACGGGAGGGCAACTTCTTGTCATGTAGGTCTGCTTGCAAATAACACAACAATACCTTAAAGCTGCTTTGTGGTGGGATGCACCACTAACATAATCTATAACTAAGTTTTTACAAGCTGCCAAACCGAAAAACTGAGCTTTTAAGCAAGGCACCAGTAGGGATATATAGGGAAACTGTGAGATCCTGACACTCAGTTTGCCTACGTGCAGCAACTTTTTGCAAATTTGACCAGACAAACTGTAGAGGTTGAAGCTAACTAAGCTGTGTGAGGCCTGGTTTTGATCTTGGCTAACTTGAATGATGTAAATATTAAAGTATGTCACTCCTGGCATTTCAGTGGGATTATTTCTCCAAGATAGGCAAGGTAAGGAGAAGATCTGAGATAGACTTCCAGTATTAAGTTTATCACTGTAACTTTTCCCCTCTGGTAAACACAAGGTGCTAAAATAATCACTTGATACGCTGGTGTCTAATGTTTTTAGCAAGCTACAGCCATTTAGTTAGCGTCTCAGCCCTTCGTTGCATGTTGTAGCACTGTGAGTTTATCTCCGCGGTGGGCGTGGCTTTCAGAGTGTGACGTGTTGTGCTCTGTCTCTACTGTAATCAGTTACAGTTACTGTAATTAACAGTTACTGATCAAAATGTCAGTTATAACAAAGGGGTTACATCTAAATATATTCTGCTCTGTAAAAAGTTTATACGTAGAATATAACATTCATTATTTGCATCTTTTCACCATGCATGAATGCCTTCTTTTAGCATAGCCTATAGAGAAATAATCAAAAAGTAATCAAATGCAATAGGTTACATTACTTTGATGAAGTAAGCTACTTAAAAAAGTTACGTTACTTATTACATTTTTGACAGGATAACAAGTCATCTGTACCCATTTACATTTCAAAAGTAACTCTCCCAACGCTGATGATAACATTATGGAAAGGATCCAAACAGAGATTGACCTTTTTTCTTAAACAGTTAGATTATTTTTGTTTAACCAGAAACAACCATTTAAACTCCATTTTTCTCCATTTGACTCAATTTAAAATAAACAGTAATTTTATGGTCGTAAAACACATTCAAAGTCAACAGAAACAAATTAAAGCTCACAAAACCATCTTGGTTTGTCTTTTCATTGTTCCAGTGATCACCAGCCCTGGTTTGGTTGAAATAAACCCTCAATCTACCCAGTTAGATGTGAAAATATGCTGCTCTATAAACAATAAAATAACTTTATTAAAATGGAATCTTGGCAATAGAGATTTTGGGTCTGTTTCTGGCTAAACAAAAAGGATCTTACTCTTTAACAAAAAGGCTACTCATTAGATTTTAAACAGGGTAACTAGTAATCTGTAACCTATTCAGTTTTAAAAGTGACATTCCCAACACTGCATGCAGGGGTACGTATGAACAAGTTTTTCTTGTTTGGTTAAAACCACATCGTCCTTATTCTCATACAGAGAATATTTTGGAAAACCTTAAGCTCTAGGTTAATTAATGGTTTTGTGTTTGTATGTGTTTTAAAATCTCACAACATATTTAACAGTATTAACTTGTTTACACTTACTTGGGTACAAGTAATTAAAAAAGACCTTCCCAGCTTCTTCCTCCTTGCACATATTTTTCCACTGTTAATTTCAGATTATACCATTTGCTTGATTTTAACCTGTGTAAATAAACAAATCTGGTACAAAACTCAAATGTTGTAGCGTCTATTGTTGATTGCACAGTAGGTCTGCTGTGTAGGATTTAGGAGCATACATTGGCAGAAATGGTAGTCACTACAACATGCATTTTTTATGCACATGTTATATTAGTTGATATATGGAGAACAGTGTAATAAAAACTTCCAAGTCTGTCATGTGATGCAGTTGGGCCCAAAAAGACTTTTTCCCATAGACTTAGATTGTGAAAGAGATGTCGGTAAATCAGTGGATACATGTTTTTTGAGTGTAACAACCCCCGCAAATTGACTCATTTCACTGTTGGGATTTGATCCATTTGGTCCAGTAACATTTGGATAGTCTAGAAGAGCTGCAAGATGAAATCATTTAGGAGGGTATAATTATAATTATAATTATAATATAATGTTTACTGCTTTCTTATTCATTTTAATTCTTGTTTATAATCTTGATTTTAGTTTTGGCCTTTTTCTATTTTACCTTTTACTTTGGTGACATTTTATGATTTTTTTGTTCATTTATAGGTGCTATATTAATAAAGTTTATTATTATTTTATCCCTTTTTATGTTAGCGGAGTGCTAAATTGGAAGTAGCTGGCGTGGCAGATGAAATTCTGTGGTGCGCCACAAAGTGCGGAAGCAGAACTGATCATCTGGTTAATTTCATAAATGGCAGTTGAACGTTTTTGGATTTATCTGTCACTAAGCAACTTTTAAGGGAATGAACAGAGTCCTGCCTCCAAACCTGCATTCAATTTTCTATTTACATCCATGGCAGGTCCTCTTCCGTGGAGTCTGCCATGTTGATCTACAGTAGCCCAGAACGGACAAATCTAACACTGGCTCTAGATAGGCTATTCCCATTTCTGCTTTTTTGCATTAGTGACCGTAGTTCTCCTACATGCTTGGCACACTGGAGAAGTTTCAGTTCTGCAACCTTAGATGCCTCTAAATCCTCCACACTGGACCTTTAAATCATGCATGCAAAAATATTTTATTGTCCACCTTTTTCAAAAGCAAATAATATATATCCCTGCAGATTACATATCTTTCTAATGCTGGTCAACTGTATATGGCAAATACATACACATTCAGGGTTTAACACATTATAAGGAGTAGTTGTGGGTGGTATATGCAAATGTTCAACATATTAAACATGAATTGCAAATAGCCAGTATCCATATGTAAATATTGGATCTCTGTCTGCTGCAAAGCTGATGTATTTCTGTAATGTGTGAGTGTTAAAATAAAAAGTATCTTTCATACAGATTGTACTCTTGGCTCCTAATGGCACATAATTGAACACTGTGACCAGAGAAGTGACAGTGAGGATGATAAGAGCTGTCAACAAATAGTAATAATTATAATGTCACAAAACAGTCAGTAATTTCCACAGCTACAGTCTCCCCACTGGAATTAACCAAAGCAAAGAGGCCGAACTTCTGCATCTGCATTTGAAATGCATGTGATTTTACGTGTCAGTTTGTTTGTGAAAATTATGTTCCCATCCGACATGAGGTCCCGGCACATCTCGGGGTAATTTTCAATAACTGACACTAATGGTTGGGGGAGAATTCAGTGACAAGGTCAAGGAGGGACAGGCACTTTTTAATAAAGTCTCTTA